TTCTGGAATGATTAAAAACACTATCTTAAAAAAAAAATAGTTACAATAACAACCCAATGCTCCAAATCGCATCCAACTTTTGTGCTACAGGAAACCAATACCAGTAAATTACTAACGTTTTAGAAAACATACCAAACACATCGTCCCAGTGCTTAAAACACAGAGATATAGTTTTCTTGCTCCCCCTGTGTTAGCCAGTGTGTTGGTGTTGTTTGGCATTGTGACCAGCTTACTTACAAACACTAGCTTGATGCTGCACAAATCCTCACTCTTGCTTGAATTTAGGTTAGGCTAATGCTTAAATGTATTCCATTTTGAAGTGTGTCTGAGAACGAGTTTAACAATAACATGCTTGTGGATTTACCGTGTGGGATTATTTGTATATAATATTTAACAAGCAAGAAAACAATATTTACCATGTCAGATATTTGACTATCAAGGTCATCAACATAGTATATGTGGGTGATGGTTATGTCTGGGATGTCTTTAATTTTAAGAGACAACCAATTTTTAATGTCTCTCCATAGTTTAAAAGAAAAAGGACAGGGAAAAAAAAGATGATTAAGGGATTCGTCTGGACATTCACAAAAGGCACAACATGTTGAATCACATTTAAATCTTTTGGCGTCCATCATGGGAAAGTTCAGACTTATGGCCAGTTGTATGGATGACGTTCATTCATACACAGGTCTTAAATTCCTGTCATTAATTAACTTAAAAGTCTTAAATTGAAGTTGATGAAACCTACAGAAACCCTGACAGAACCTGCGGTTCCGGTGCCAGTCTTTACAAAGTGGCTCTTGTTAACTTCTGACTGAAAAGTAAGAAAAAACTGTTGGTGTTTTTAATAAAGATATAGCAACAAATGCAGAATTTTTAACTTTTTAAGTTTTGGGACGTTTTCAAAAAAATGTTTCCTGCAATGTGTCATTCTTTCTGAGTGTCCAGAAAGAATGACACTAACAGTATCAGTAATATGTTTTTAGGCAGGTTTTCTCACTTACTTCTAAGTTTTACTTCTGAAACTAAAAACACTGAAAATGAAGCCATCTGTGGAGCATAAAGGTCTTTCACTAGAGAACTGGAGAAACACGCTATAGCAGAGAAGTCACTTTTACCTCTTGTCTGATCAGAAAAGGCCAGTGAAAATGCAGCTGCTCCACACAATCCAGTCTTCTGACTTTCTGAAATAACACACACTTCACAAAAGCAAGAAAATGGTTTACAGATTAAATCAATAAAATAGATTTGATATGATAAAGATATGAGTGCATCTTCTCAAGCTATCTTCAAGATTAGCTTCCAGTATGTCAAATTGATTACTTTATATTGTTCTCACTTATATTACAAACTTAGCTTAAATTAACAAAACCACATTTCTTACCATTGTAAACAGCTTCGTTTAGCTGGGCGCTTGCAGGCAACAGGCAAGACCGACAGTAAAGTGAAACCAGTTCATGTGGACTGAACAAATTTGAAAGGGCTGTTCAACCTCAATAGTCTCCAAACGTCCTGAGTTTGTGTAAACTATCTCATTATTTCGAGATTCTATCTCATTATTTCTAGATTCTATCTCATTATTTCCAGATACTATCTCATTATTTCAAGATACTATCTCATTATTTTGAGATTTTAAAAAAAATGCTGCTTCTGCTGCTGCGCAATTATTTATGGTTATAATTCTGATTCTTTAAATATTATTTTCTTAAAAGAGCTGGAGGACACCATGTTTTTTCTTGGTACTAAGTTTCCATCAGCAAAGGTTATTTTAGGGGAAGATTTTAATGTGATCTTTTTCACTCAACTTGATAGACATCCCTCAAGATTTAGAAATGGACAGAACCATATTTTGGACTTTTCTAACCGGCTAAATTTAGTAGATATTTGGAGACATCGTCCTCCTATTGACTCCAATTAGACTGGAGTAACAAAAGCTTTTCAACTCAATCTAGAATTGACTTCTCATAAGCAGATCCCTGTTATAATTTCTTTTGTTGCCTTTATTGTTCTTTTTGCTATTTTATACAATCTTCATATGTATTTGAATATATTTTTGACATTTTGTTTTGAAAGCCTAAATGAAAAAGTACATGTCATTATATTTGACCAATGTATATATATTTATTTAACTTTTGTCTTTCTAGACTTTCACATCAACACCCTCAATATCTGCAATTATTCTTTATTTGTTTTTATTATATTTTAATATTTGACTTTGAGTTAACCTCTGTATGTATGCTCATGTTATTTGTTTGAAATAAAGTAAAAAAAACAAAACACACACATTATTTTTATTCAAACTTGATGAGTTTGCCATTTGTTCTACTGAGGCTGTGACATCACGCTTTTCTCTATTACATCATAAGACTGCAATCTAGAATTTTGGTAATCTAGACAGACACATTTAGTCAGTGAAGAGCTCAACAATTTCAGACAACTTTTCAAACTAACTGATTGCTTCAACAAAAATGAATGACACTGTTGATTCACAAAAGGTTGGTGAAACTATTGATTTATTGGATAAATATAAATTTACTATCAGTACACCGGTCAAACCGATACCCACTGAAAATTTTGTTGGAGACTTGAAAGTACTGAAAAATCAACTGGAAGATATCCGTTTATGTATAAAATCAAGAATTAGTGCAGCAAGGAACGAATTGCAAGGATTGGAAGAGCTGGAGAAACAGTTGGAGGAGATAGAAAATGACACGATGGAACTAGAGGAAGAGAGAGTAATGAAGCCAACGATTCCTGACACAAACAAAGGAAATTTATTGATGAATGTGGCAACGGGCATTGCAGCAGCTGTAGGAGTAGGATTGATGATTGTGGGGGGGATTTCTCTGTGGCAAACATTTTCTTCATTGAAATAAATGCAGCCACCGTCTGAAGTGCGCAAATGTGACCCAGAGAAAAGACATTTTTCTGTCAAACCAGGGGAGTTTGACAGGGTGTGTGCGGACCAGTGGGACCAGTGGGGTCCAGCCCCCTGGTTCTGGAGGGGGCTTTACCACATAGTTTACCCATGTGGGCTTTGGGTGAACTAAACCTGGCAGGATTAGGGTAAGGGTTATGTCGGTGGTCCTTGGACGAGATCCAGGATGTGGGAACCGTGTACCCAGAACGAAGAATATTGGGGCTTGGCCAGTTGCAAGGGGGCCAGGCGACTGGCATCAGGCCGGGCGTATCCAGGGGACTTTTGGGACAGGACTCAACCCTGAGAGCCATCCTCTGGAGCCCCCCGACCGAGATCAGGTACCTCAGGGGAGAATTTATATTTTAAGAGAATTTGGCTGATCTAATGCAGACGTCCGCAGCATGGAGCTCCGGAGCCACAAGTGTCTCTTTAGTCCTTCCAAGGTTCAATAATAACAATAATTGTGAATAAAAATGTTAAAGAACCAAATGATAAAAAAAAAAAAATGTAATAAATCCAAGTTTTAGAAGTTGATGTATCTGTATGGAAATAATTGCTTTGTGTTTTTACAACAGAATAACATTAAATAATATTTTGACTAAAGTACCATAAATTCTAGGTTGGAGTCCTTGTCAAATAGTATTTTGACTAAAGTACCATAAATTCTAGGTTGGAGTCCTTGTCAAATAGTATTTTGACTAAAGTACCATAAATTCTAGGTTGGAGTCCTTGTCAAATAGTATTTTGACTAAAGTACCATAAATTCTAGGTTGGAGTCCTTGTCAAATAATATCTTGACTAAAGTACCATAAATTCTAGGTTGGAGTCCTTGTCAAATAATATCTTGACTAAAGTACCATAAATTCTAGGTTGGAGTCCTTGTCAAATAGTATTTTGACTAAAGTACCATAAATTCTAGGTTGGAGTCCTTGTCAAATACTATTTGACTAAAGTACCATAAATTCTAGGTTGGAGTCCTTGTCAAATAATATCTTGACTAAAGTACCATAAATTCTAGGTTGGAGTCCTTGTCAAATAATATCTTGACTAAAGTACCATAAATTCTAGGTTGGAGTCCTTGTCAAATAGTATTTCGACTAAAGTACCATAAATTCTAGGTTGGAGTCCTTGTCAAATAATATCTTGACTAAAGTACCATAAATTCTAGGTTGGAGTCCTTGTCAAATAGTATTTCGACTAAAGTACCATAAATTCTAGGTTGGAGTCCTTGTCAAATAATATCTTGACTAAAGTATCATAAATTCTAGGTTGGAGTCCTTGTCAAATAATATCTTGACTAAAGTACCATAAATTCTAGGTTGGAGTCCTTGTCAAATAGTATTTTGACTAAAGTACCATAAATTCTAGGTTGGAGTCCTTGTCAAATAATATCTTGACTAAAGTACCAAAGGTTTAAAGGCCCAGTTGATGCCTATATGTATGAATTTGATTTTGTGGATATGTATGTAATTTTTATTTTTTTTTCCTGTTGTGGGCAACGGGGCCCGGCGAATACCCGTGGTTAAACGGACGGCGGAGTCCGGCGGTAACAGGCGCTTAAATTCCGTGTCAAAGGGAAGGGGGAAGAAAGGGAAAAAAGAGGGAGGAAAAGGGGGGAAAAAGAAAGGGAAAAAAAAGGAAAAAGGGAAAAAAAAAAAAAACTTGGTATTTTTGTGTTTATGATGTAAAGCACTTTGAAATGCCTTGTAGCTGAAATGTGCTATACAAATAAAATTTGATTGATTGATTGAACGTAGTTGTTTTTTTTTCTAGATATTCTCCAAATATCAAAATGAAATGTTCAATGAAAAATCTGCAGACTGCACTAATTTATTTTTACCCGACTGACGGAATAACCAGTAGAACAATCCATTTGATGAATTTTGTACAAAAAATAAAATAAAATTCCATCAACTCCTTAAATTACATTTTCTTTTCTTATTTTTTTTATCACTCCTATAAGTCATCAATTCAAAAAAGAAAAATAAAGATGATCAAGTGTAAACTTGTTCAGGGCGGCATCGTTCTCCCTCACAACACGAAAGCAGCTTCAAGTCGATTCACACACAATAAACACGACTCTGGTAATGAACAGCTTTTATTTCACTGTAAACACAACACAAAGTGCCACAGATTCTATGTCACACAAACTCTTTAGACAAGAAACCGCTCATCAGGAGGTATAGAAAAGATGTAAACAGCACAATTTGGACTTTATCAGCATGTAAATCACAATAAGACACACTCAAGAATGCACATTTACAACAAGGAATTTGTACAGTCCTGCGTCCAAGGCATTTTATGTGTGCAGCTTCTTTTTCTTTTCAGATCAAACGGTTAAAAATGACTGTTTCAATGCATAAAAACACCAAAGGTTTATGTTTCTATTGCTTCTTATAAACAGAAAGTTTCACCACTGAAGGTTTTTTTTTTTTTAATTATTTTTATGATCACAGTCAGTAGGTAGTTTACATGCTCCACAGTGCGTCATCGTTTAGTCCTACGGTGAGACTTCTCTTCGTTTAGAAAGTACGGGCAGTAAACAATTCTGCTTTTTTGGACGCTGCTGCTTACAGGTGCAACTTAGCAAACAGGAACATCTCTGACATCATAATTTCAGTAATTCAGTTCAGAAGTGAAAAATATTTCATTAAACTGCCAAAAGTATCCACTCGTTCGGCATCAGACATGATAGAAGCTGTACCACCTGTGAATATTTGTAGGAGAGCTTTGAGTTCAGGAGGAATTCACTATTTCCCCAATGGTCTTATTTGTGAGGTCGGACACTGATGTTGGGCAAAAAGGCCTGACTCACGGACTCTGTTCTGATGGATCAGAAAAGTGTCCATCCAGTTTGAGGTTGAGGCTCTGAGCAGACCAGTCGAGCTTTCCCTCAACAAACTCAGTCCTCCGTGTGTTTGTGGACTTTGATTATGCCGTATTTTGCAGGCACATTTGAACATCAGATGACCATCCACAAACTGTTCCCTCAAATTGTCCAAAATGTTTTAGAATGCTGCAGAATTAGAAATAAAAAAAGTTTGTTTTGCGTATATTACTCAAAAGTTATTTTTGTTTGATTTGGTAAATGTTGAGGGGGAGTGGGAAAGTGGCGATCTGTTTGACCTTCCATGACCTCTAGAAACATTTATCAATGTCTTCAAAACGGTCGTCGCACAAACAAAAATTTGTTTCTGCACAAACGTTTGTTTAATTTGAAGGTGGAGGGGGGAACAACTTCACTCAGCTGCTTGTTTGCCTTTCTCAACCATATTTTTGTCTTTCAATTCATTGAAATAATGAAGATTTGCTTCAGTTTGGCGTTTTTGTTAGCGTTTAGTTGTCACTGTCAAAACTAAATGTCGCTAAGTGTCTAAAGAACCTACATAAATCACAAGCTTCACTTTTGAATTGAGTTACTAAAGTCTTTGATGACATCCTGATCTGTCTTACAAAACCACGTTAGAGCAGCTTTGGCAACTGGCTGCCACATTTAGTTCAGCAACATGTCGATGTTTTTGTTAGGTGGGAGGCAGGAAATGATGTCTAAATTAATCCGGGGGTCTCAAGTTAGACACCAGCCCCAAGAAGAACAAGTGGGTATAAACTACGCATGGATGGATAGTTCCTGTTTCAGGCGGCGTTAACAGCTGCTGCATGTCTCTGACTTTTAGTCCACACAGTTGTAAACATGGAAATGAAAAACAGTCTGCTTGATTCTTGCACTTTTACATCAAGTAAAACCAATCCGGCGAATTTACCTGCTACATTGTTGCCATAAAAAAATTAAATAAATAAAAGTAAAAAAAATACTAGTCAGTTGTTTAAGGCATTCGACTGTAAATCTGCTATTTTTGTAAAGCCAAAGTTTGACCGATCAGAGCAGCGTGAGCTTGTAAACAAAGATATTACAGCGTTTGTTCCCGACTGAACAGCGATGCGTTGTTGAGTGATCACAGTGAGTGTGTTTTAATCCACACACATATTCAGTTTAAAACATGTTTGGCTATTGAGAACCTCCAAACGACGAGACCTTACTCTTTGGTTCTAACGTAATACTTCAGACTTCCCTTTATATAACGTGACACAATCTATTCCCTTATTTGAGAGCAAAACATAAAAAGCATAATAAATTGCTGTTTTCTTTTCATATATTATCACACTGCGCACTGGAAACACTGAGAAGAAAAAAATAAAAAGAAAGCATAAACTGCTAGAGAATGTGATTGCTTTAGCTGGAGGGTGAATTAGAGTCATCGGGTCGATGAAGAACAGTAGCCAGCATAGGACAGGGATCTGAGCCCAAAGCATGAGGATGATGATGATGAGAAGGAGGAGGATGATGACAGAGAAAATGTTTATGTGAGTCCAATTTCCTCCAGCACGCTGCGAGGGGTCTCTGCATCCTGTAGGGGGAGAGCGGTGAGAAAACAGTGAGACCCTGCGAGAGACTTTCTGACCTCTTGAGCTTTTACACAGTTTCTCATGTGATGATAAATGTCTCCTATCTGTTAAATTTGCTGCTGTGCAAATAAGAAGCGCTTCTAAAATCACCACATCCTTCCAGCTACCAAAACGTCACCAAGTGAGGGAGTTTCAGAAGAATCTGATCCATGTTAAAGGGGCGGTATTATGTATACGTTATGTTATGATGTGACGTTGTGACGACATATGAAAGTGGAGTGACAGAAAAAATTAGAGCTTCTTAAAGCAACAGAGGCTCATTTTATGGTGTTAATTTGCAAAATGTAACTTTTTTTAAGTTCTGTTGGAAATATACAGCATATTTAAACTTAAAGGTAATGTTGTTGCTTAATTGTGCTAAAAAACGGCACAGTGTGCCTGGAAAATATATAACACTACCCCTTTAAGACTGCTTTTGTGATTTAAAAGTCAACTTATTACTTTATTTCACCCTCATTTTGGACTGGATTAACTTCTCATTAGTTCATGCATGTCTGGTCATATTGTTCTAATCAGTGTTTATTTAAGAAATCTACATGTTGAAATATTGTTGTAATTTCTCTGTTTAGCTTTCCGACATGCCGCATTTCTGCAATAACTAAAACCAAGAACATGCAACAGATACTGATCTTACAGATTGTATTTGGTGTCATTATGCGTAGAAGTAGATCAGTAAAACGTTTCCTAAATTTGGGCCCACCTTTTTCTTTTTATTCTCAATTGTTCGTGATTTTAAATGTTGACATCGGAGGTTGCTCTGACTCTGCACGCGCTCATACGGATCAGTTTGTTAAAGAAAGAGAAGGAGAGACACTTACTTTGGCGTCCTAAGCCAGCGTTCAGCATAAAGGTAAAGAGAGGAATTTCATCAGAGCAGTGAGACGGAAAATTGACTTCACACAGAAAGAGGATCTGACATTTCAACTGGGATACATCTGTAAAAATGATAGTTTGAGAGAAGAAAGCTCAAACTCTGGAACTACGCCACAGAGACGTATGTTACACAAGAATATTTCTAAATGCATTTTCTTACAGCATGTTATATATTTATGTCTCCTAAATCTTTTCCATATTGCATCAGTCTAGAATAAACTTCAGTATATTTTATTTTGGATTTTATGCAACAGACCAGGCGTCAGATAACGTTACAGCCCAGACAGACGATTTGGACTTTGGTCCAGCTGAACAAACTTTGTTTAAAAACTACATGAAACCAAGAAGCTTATTTAGCTTGGCTTATCAAAAAAAAAAAGTTTTTTGATTTTTAAATGAAAGAAAGGCACTTTTATTTTTTTAGGTTTTAACATAAAGTTATTAAACTATTTTTGCACAAAAACACACAAACGTTTTCAATTGATAATAATTCTTTTTGAAAAGATGCATACTTTGCAACCAAAAGAGAAAAAAATAATTACATTTTTACAGAAAGTATTCCTAAGGCCAATCCTGGTGTTTTTCTGATGCTGCTTTGTATGTGTTACATACAATATGCGTTTTATTTTGATACAAATATTACATAGCCCCTCAGTGGATGATGTAAAGAGATACATGTGGCTCTGTGGGTATGGAGTCAACATCTTCTTGTTGGAATGGACCAGTCAAAGTTTAAGTTGGTCTTTCACATAAAGTACAAATAAAAAATCTCGTAAAATATTTTAAAAAGTTTAAGTGGTATGGATATTTTGCACAATGTTTGGCACAACTGAGTTTCTTTCCAACACTCAACAAAAAAACATGACTATGTTTCCAAACGTCTGCCTGAGTGTTTAAGAAATGAGCAAGGTGGCATCACAGAAATTTTAAATTGAACATTAACAGAAAAAAGAAAAAACTCGCTTGATGGTCATAAATGTATGATTTATTATACATGTTTTTAAAATCAATTATTCCATCACTCAACTCATCAGAGTGGTCCTATTATGATTTTTATATTTGTTGGGTCACATTTTTGTTGAGAATAAGTGGTTCTTGATTTATCCACACAATTTGTATTTAGTGCAAAATCAATTTTAATATAATTCATCTATGAACACTTACCTTGAGAGTGGAAACTACACATGTATTCATATCTAATACGTTTTTAAAATACATCGTTTTAAAATTTTATTTTAAAATAAGAAAATAGAGTAATGTCAAACAAAATGTAGATTATTGCTAGTCTTTGCTATTGTCTCAGACTTATTTCAATGTTGCACAACTTCTAGTCATCGTGGCATGACAGAAAGATTCATACGGATTTTAACATGAATTAAAATCTGACAAAAACACCAAGAAAAAAATATAAATAAAAAACACTCCATATGTGAGTAAAATAACTAACACTAACCCCCAGTCTGTGTTTAAGTAGCTTCAGAGTTAGCGTGACTATACACAGAGAGGTGTTATCTATTAATTTTTAAAATATTTTTTCTATAAGTGCAAACACTCCGGTCCGAACAAAGACCAGAGTGAAACTGCCTGCATGGCTGTGCCGCCGAATCTCCACCAGGGGGCAGTGTTTCCCCACAGAGTGACGGGGAGCTGCGCAGGCGGGCAGAACAAGCTATTCTCCTATTTAACCAAAAACCAATGAGTTTGAAACCCGTCTTCTTGTTCCAAGAATGTCGACAGTCAATTAACCAGGAATTTCACTTAAATTTTCAGTCAGAGCTTCTCAAAAAGAAAAAGACGGAGCAAGAATGTCTAATAAGAGGAAATTGAGCTTCATAAAAAGAAACACAATGGATCATGAGGACACAAGATGGAAACTTTGTTCTTTACAGCAAGAAAATACACAAATATGCCACATATAGAAAGAAAAAAAATGATACAAAATTTAGCAGACCGTTGACAGACATGCAATAATGCATCAAATAAACAATTATAATGGCTACATGAATATATTAGCTCGATTTAAAAGTGACGTTTTCTTGTTCCAGAGGAGCAGTTTTTAAAAATAATTTTAAAAAATCCACCACTGAACTTTAGTATTGGTTTACTTCCTGGACAACACTTTAGGCCGGCTGTCATGTTTCAGGTGGAATTAAAAGTGGGGCCGACGATACACCCCCGAACATAATGTCAGGTGCTCAGAGGCCAGAAAGAAAGGTGCCAGGCACTGAGAAGCGCAGCATGCAGGGCGGACAGCAGCGGCAGCAGCAGCAGATGGTAGCCAATCAGTACACAGGCACATTAAAGTACTCATGACGGGGCTAAGGGAGAGAAAACAAGACAACACTCAGTGGCAACAGCCTCCACCGCGTTCACACTCTGGTCCTCAGCAGCAGGACATGCAGGACACGGAGCAGCAGGCAAAATGCAGCATTCAACGACTTCATTCTTTCCTTTGTATTAAATTATCCGTTTAGACAAAGAGAGTCACACAATATTCTTGTCTACGTCATTAAAGTGTTTGTCATGTTACAACCACCATCTTTAATGTATTTTAATGGGATTCAATGTAATAGCCTGCGAGGAAGTAGTGATGAATTATAATTTAGAGTAAAAACGAAAAAAAAAAACAGTCTTAATCTTAACCCGTCTGTTTCTGTTGAACTCTGACCCTTGTCTTTACACTGCTCTCCATTCCGCTCAGTGTAATCCTACTAATATCAATTGGCAAGACCTTTGTTCAATTGGGTCAGTCACTTTTAGAAGGAATTAATATTTATGTACTTATTTTATGTGAACCTTTTTATCATTTGGTAGAAATCAATTTCACAATTTTTGTGTTTGCAAAAAAAAAAAAGCCAAATTTTGTTGACCATGATTGATTTATCTACAAAAAATGTAAAGGGTAAAACGTCTAGGGTGCGTGAATACTCTTTACAGACACATTCAATAGTATGCAATAACTGACTCTACAATAAACAAAATATAAGAGGAAAAAATCACTTTGTACAAGACTCAACTCAACAATTGTCCTACAGTATATTTCTACAGTAGTCCAGATTAATTACTTCGAGGCTTGTGGCTGTAATCTGACAAAAAGGGAAAAAGTTAATAACGTAATACTTTTGTAATGGAAGTCATTGGCATGAAATCAGACATTATGAACATCTTATAGTTTGCAATTCTTTAACTCCGTCAGTGAGTGAGTCCGTTGTGCAAAGGTAACCCAAATGTGTTCGTATATTAAGTTGAGTAGTGGAAAGTGGCAGTGATGACGCCAACGTTCACAAAAAATTAACAGAAAGACAGATTTTTGCTCACAACAAACTGTACACGGTCAACAGTGAAGACACCACTACCAGGAAACTAGGGAAGGCACTAGAACTGAGCTACAGACAGATTATTAAACTGTGAACAAAGACATACAAAAACAAAAAAAACCTACAGACTCTAGTGGTACAGACAGCCTAAACCCACAGACACAAAGTATTCACCTTAGCTGGCCTAATTTTGGAAAAGACCAGAGGCTTCTGATGCCATATTTGGGACCATCACACCTGTGAGGCAAATATTTCCATAAGGACAAAGAGTGTTTGATCAAATCTACCAACCTACTCTACAACTCGTCTAGAGGAGGTGCTCAAGAAACAAACAAACAAACAAAAAAAACAGGGATCAAACATGGACCACTTCAACATCTACGCCCGTTCATCTCCTCTCAATCCATCTCAGGTGTCTGAACTGCTCACAGTGCTCTGAGGCTTCACTAATCCTAAAGAATATCGACCCGCTGGCAGAAAAGGAAGGGTCTGGTCTTGAGAAAAATTTAATTACAGCCCTATCAAAATAGCTTCCACCAAATCCGCTGTGGTATGTTTTCTAATTACTGGGCTATGTCCTTACTAATGCCTAGAAACACAAGGCAACAGGTCCAAAATAAGCCCCAACTGCCCCTGCACTGTTTTAGCCATGCAGGGCTTATATTCTGATTTCTCTTCAGTTTTTTTTGTCTTGTACAACTTCATTGCAACAGTAGTGCTTTAAAAACTCCAGCTGCGAACCCTGATTACTACTCTGTGCTGTCAAGCAGATTGCTGGTTAAATTGTTTTCCTCTTGTATAACTTGCAGTAACTTCACCACAGGAGGTCTTCTTTTAATGTGGTCTGACTGCTGCTTTCATAACAAAACAACCATGACAAGAGGAGGCGACACAATAAAAACAATTTATAGATAAATGAGCTTGGTTCTTTATTGCATTATAGATGTTTTCTTGTCGTTTTCAAGTTTTATATAATGTTTAACTCAGTGAAGAGCTCAATGGTGCAGGATAAGATTGGTAACAATGTTCTAATTCAAGGATTTCAGGGTTATGAGCAGATATTGGGCAGCAGATATAACTCTAGACTTCCAGACTGAAATCACAAGTAAAAGACCTGCATTCAAAAAAATCTACTCTGTTAGAAAAATAACAAATGTCGTCTGGATAGTTTTATTCTCTTCTCTCTGTCTTAAAGAAAAACCAAAACTTCCCCAATTGACTTTCGGCAAGAAGCATCTTTTAGAAATGAAGGAATGATTATGTAGCCGCAGACATTATCAAAAGTCAAACTTCTTCCTGATGACTTCTGAAGATGTGGTTCATTTGTCAATTCGTACACTTATCTGAGATTGGGTTGTGGGTTTAACAAGTTGAAGACTGGATCTTAAACATCTTAAGACATTCCCAGGCTATCAGCGATACATGGACTCTTTAGTAAGCACTGGGTCCTACCCAGTTAGACGTACAAGGTCCTCATTGGGTATCTTGATCAGTTAATTATATCAAAGGATTCCTTTGAGTGTGGTGGACAGCAGCTCTGACCTGAGTCCCTCTCAGTATCTGTATGAAGGAAACTGCACCTGTTCTTTGTGCCATGATCCATATCTCAGGACCATACTTAGAGGTTGGACGATAGAGTCCTGCAAATTGAGAGCTTTACTTTTTAGCTCTGCTCTTTTATTGCAATTACAGCAGAAGTGCCTCTAGACAACCCTTCAATTCATCTTTGGAACCATCCCACCATAATCAATGGACAAGACACCTAAACTTTTCTGTTTTGGTGTAGATACTGACCCCCAGGCCATTCCCCTTGTTCATTTCGACATCCACGGCCTCAGACATAAGCCACGAGGAATCAACTCTCATTTGGCAGCTTCACTGTGAATTTTTCTCATGCACTCTGAAAGTTTGGCTCTTAAGAGACCAACAAAAATCATATTGTTTGGAAAAAGCAATGACGAGAATCTGACGTTTCCAAACCAGACACAGTCCTTTCCACCTGTGTACCTTGATTCTGGCCCACGAATGCCACAGCCAGCAGCGGGGACAAGGTGGAGCCCAACATGCATTAAGACCAGCTTAACTTCATGCCAAGGTCCTTAAACCTTTAAGCCCCTCCCAGTATCCTACAGTCCTATAACACCTTCCATCAAGATGCTACTGGGGGACAAAGTCCTAAGTCTTCTAAATCCACAAAACATGTTTGAACTGGACAAACTTCAATGACCCCTTGACCAGCTTTGCAAGGGTAAAGATCTAGTCGAGCATGATCAGGGTCAGTTCAAGTTTTGTGATGTTAAGAGTCCACTATTTCTAGCTGGTATTGCTCAGCCGCACACGACCAGCTTCTTACCAGTAAGGTGATATTCTAGGCTCTGCTGCCAGAAATTACTATGCCGAGGCCAATGTCATTGCCTGTCAAGCAGCTTGAATGCACATAAGTTCATTATTTACTCATTTTCATGATTTCTAAAAAAATAAAATAAAATAAAAAAATCAGTGGCTGCAAAACAAAAAGACGAAGTATGTTTTTAAATGTACTGGTCCAGAAAGCTTAAACCTGGGCATCAGAGACGCTTGAAATGTAGGCAGGAAATGTGAATGTGTAGTGGAAAGAAAATGAACACGCCCATTTCTTTTAAATTCTATAATTTGATGTTACGGATTTTGAGGATCGAAAGTAAAATAGTAAATCTGGGACCAAAACATAAGATGTCATAAATATAAGTAGTTTCAACATTAGTTCCATGTTCAATAATCAGAAAGCCAACCAATTTTATTTGTTGCCGTCAGAATAAACATCAACCCTGGTCTCCACAGCTCCACATTCAAAAACCAAAGTCAACATTTATATAATTTAACGTTCCAATTTATCCAATTTTCAACTCTTCTTCAAAAGTAAACTACAAAAAGCTTATCTTTAGCCAAAAAGCGTTGGATTATATTTTAATCTCTGTTAGTAGGGCTGCGTGTGTGTATGGAAAAATGTATAGCTTTGTTCATGCCAGCTAAAGCGCTTTTAGTGCTGATGTATGTTTTGCTCAGAGTTAAGAGACAGTCAGACTGACAGAAACGCATGCAATCAGAAGTTCATGGCACGCAGAGCTGCAAAAACCCATGCTGACTGACTGACTTCATCAGTCTAGTTACCAATTAAATGGGTGGAGGCACGGAAAGGCCTTTACAAGATCTCCTCATTTGGCAAACTTCCCCAGTCTTCACTCTGGCTCTATAAATACAGAATTGAGCCGATCAATTATTTTCCTGCTCCTCTCCGGGTGATTAAAGTGAACATCTTGTTTTCACTCGACTTCTTCTAATATCAGACACCATCCCACTGATCTATAGTACACAGTAAAAGGGAAAGAGCTGAGAAAGAACTTACCACAACCCTCTAAGGACAGAGGACAGTCTGTGCACAGACAGCCCGGCTGTCTGCAAATACACAGACGGCTTCACCATTGTGTCCTCTGGCATTTTGGACTTGCCTGGCAGCGACTGCCTCACACAGATAATTACAACAGGACTCATTTACATTTCCTGACAGTGGATTTATGAATATATTACCTAACCATTTCACTTCAGTTTTGCCCAAATTCATAATTGAATTTGGTCCAATTTGTAAAACTGGAGACTTCTTGATGCTCCCAGTTTTTATACTTTAATGTACAATACTTTCACAATAAGATAGAATTGGTTCAAGTTAAATGATCTTTAATTCATGCGCTGTCCACCAGGAGGATGTTTGTGTATTATTGGTACATTTTAAGCCAGTAACATATGGTGGGGTTCAAAATCCTACAAACCTGTGGAGGATTTTGTCACCATGTATAGAAAAGAGTGACTCTGTGTTCTCTCTGAATAACACTACTTTTCTCTGGTGGATGTTAATGGGCTCGTCAGCAGTGACCTGATTTCCCTTCCAAGAACTCATTAGCTGGGGCCTTTTGGAGCGCTATCCCACCAAATGTTGAGGAAAGAAATACAACAAACCCATCAGGCTGCTGCCTAACTGCTTACATTCATTCTGAACTGGGTTTTATCAACAATTTCTTTGTTGTAGCAATGCTTCTTGGTAATAAATCTTAAACCGTTGGATATTTCACCCTAAATGGTGCCACAATTTGTATGCAAAGTGCATTTGTGCAGCTGAGTTGATTATATGGGTTAGGCTCATGAAAAGCTTGTCAAATCGACCTAGACCATGCCAAACAGCTTATTGGTGGAGGCAGTGTGATGTTATGAGGCAGCATTTCTCTCACAGGAAAAAAACAGGCTTGTCATCACTGGAGGCAATCTTTGTGCAGAGTGATATGGACATGAAATACTGCAACCATTAGCAATTCCATTTTCTTCACTGTTAAGCAGGGTCTATGTTGCGCGATTATCAGACATCTTAGCCAAAATCTCTTGTCGCAAAAGAAACCCTCTGATTATGAGCTTGAATCGGTGGTCTGTGGACATTTGGTGTTACAGATAGGTTGAGAACTGATTAGGAGCTTCTATGACCAACGACGACCTGCGACAAATATCAAGTAGTGTGTGATATTTTCTTGGCAAATCGTAAAGTGTGACTTTGTCTTCTTTTGCGAAACCATGAGCGTTTCTACGGTTGTCTCACTCCCTTCCCTCTGCTTCAACTCCATCTTTTCTCTGTCCGACTTAAATAATAAATCCATTAATATCCACAACTTACTGTCTATTTAGTACCATCCCTGCAACACTACATCTAGGATTTGGGAATGGAGAAGAAGAAACACTTTGGATACAGTTTTGTTCTGGCCTGATCCACACTGAACATCTGTTCATCTCAAATTGATGTGCACAACCAAGCTGGTTGTTTCCCATAAATCCTGGTTGAAGAATCACATTCTGTACCACAGCAGTCTGTGACCAAGCTGGTTCCAGCATGAGAAAAAGGTGTCATGCTGTAGTGGTTGTATATAGTTCTCACACACCTCAATAAGCTGTCGAATATGTCTCATTTCTCCAAACTTCAATCATCGAGTCCCATAAACAACAACAAACAAGAGTCAAAAAGCAGAATATGGTGTTTGGGATAGGCGGAAAGGATTAAGCAAATTTATTTGGGCGCAACCCATGTACTTTACTTAACCCACAAATGAACCTAGCTTACGAATGAGGCATCATTTACAAGGAAAACACAAATCTTCTCAATATTTGTGCCAACTATGCATGTCCCTTATCATAGTGAAGTTGGATTGTTTTGTGGTAAGCGAGCGGGTCGAACATAACTTGGATGCCTGAGAATCTCCACTTAATGAGTTTTCTTGTAGTAATATGTGAAGCCTTGATCCCAGAACTACTATGGATGTTAACCATAGTTAACATCCATAGTAGTTACTGATGCCCTTTGAACATGTGAACAAACGCTTCATCATGCTACAGAGTTAACATTTAAAGGGCATATATCATCATGTTTGCATTTTTTTTCACTTGTATTTAGGGAGAACTGTATACATATATATATTTTAAAGGCACTCAAGCTAAAGGCAGACAGGAACTTCATCAAAAAAACTAAATTGTAAAGAGTGATGACTTTAGGTGTGAACACTGGTCATTATAACGTACCCTGACCCAAAACCACCTGTTCAAGCACAAGTTTATTTATTCATTTGGTGATTTCTCTAAAAAAAAAAAAAAAAACTGCTGCGATACCATGATAGCTCTATTACCAAAGTTATGTTGTTAATGTGTAAAATGGAAGCAGCTGAAAGTGTCACTTTTTTCAGCCTATGCCTTTCTTGCCAGGGCTTTGCTGCACTACAGTAATGCATCTGGAAAAAAGTTATTCCAAGGACACACTATCATTTCACTCAACTTGATTATTAACTGTGTAATATCAACCAAAATATGTTTTGGTGCAATAAAATCTCAAGCTAGTGCTAAATCAACATTACTGCTGTAAAATAGTTACAGAAAGACCAACTTTATGTTTCATATTTAGAAGATTTTTAGGTTTTTTGGCTTCAAGCTATGATGATATTTGCCCTTCGATAACTGTGACTCCATAAGACAAAAGCTTTGCTATAAGGTCAGTATGAAGCAGATAACACACCAGAAACTCTCATTTTCATGTCATAATCCAGATGTCAAATTTGACCATTGCTGGTGTGTTAATTCTGATGGCTATAGTCTATCTAGGGCTACTGATCTAATACTACAGGAAGGCCTACATTGAGTTTAACAAACTGTACCTGCAAACAGACGCATCTGAAAGTCTATATTCTGCAAATCACAACAGCAAAGAATACACAAGCACAGAGAGAAACATGTCAGTTTCAATCAAGATTAAGCGACCCAAATGGAAGAAACATAAAGCACACTGAAGAGCATGACGAGACAAAATACAAAAAATAAAATGAGGTAATATTTAAGAACCAGAAAAAAATTAACCAAGAGTTACAGCAGATATGTGCTGGTGCATTTACACTACCAGATATATTTGTTTTGTTATAAATGTGGGGTATTTCTATGCCTTTGCACTCACCGACCAGGTACAAAGCTCTTTAGATTTTGAAAAAAGTCAAAGCCCGAAATGTATTGTTTTTGTTGGATGATGTATATACATTGCCGTATTTTTGACTTCTTCTAACATCTTAAAAACTGATATCCTGCAGACAAAGTGGTGGCAAAGCAGTTCCAGATAGTCGGGTCAAAACTACATGGCTTCTCAACAACAAAACTAACGAAAAAAGTAATGTGCCTCAACACACACAGCTCCAACTGCACTGGTTTTAGGACAAAATCCTGTCTGATGTCATGTAGGACTGTGAATTTTCAATCCTGACACCAAGTCAGGTTTTCTGGACAGAATAAGTGATTATAATAAGAAAACAATATATGCACACCGACTCCCATTCACCAACATTTACAGGCTTTCTCAGTGAGTTAGTGACCTGTATCACTTGCATCTGTTTACTAGGCATTAGTCATCGTTTTGAAAGCTTGTTCATTTTATTCAATTGACAAACATTTAAAATGTATTTTCAAATCTAATGAAAAAGTAAAAACTACAAAGGGAGTTTATTGTTATTTAGGAACAAGACCTATTATTATCCTCATTAGTAACCAAAATTCTCACTAATTTAACCATTATTAAAATGCAGCAATGATACAATATAAAAGATGCATTTTATTTGTCATTGATGTAAAAAAAAAAGAAAGAAGAAAAGAATGGAAATGAGCTAAAATGTTAAATTATTATAATAATTACTGCTTTACCAGTGAGTGCTGGTCTTACCTCCTGCAGCAGGTCCGCCTGCTCGATGGCCTTCAGAACGTTCTTCTTGGACGTTTCCTGAGCCTCACCGCCCAGCAAAAACTCATCCAGAATGAAGTAGGCCTTCTCAAAGTTGAAAATAATGTCAAGCTCACAAACCTGAAAAAGTAAATGTACACAGTACACGTTTATATTCATGTGTGGTGATTGCTAAGCTCAACGAGTGGCAGCCTCAGGCCTTGCACACTTATAGCTGGGCCTTTATAAAAACAAATATCTTCATCACATCATTTAAAAACAAGATTGTACACATGCAATCTTGTTGCATGTGTACAACAAGATTGTACAAAAAAAGATTTTGTCCACATGAACTTGCACAAATGAGAGGGTTTATGAACTTTGTTTTAACATGCCAAACCAATATGGGGCAGTGTAGAGCACAGCTAAAACCTCTTAGCCAATAAGATTGCTTCAAAACGAAGCAAATGAAACCAAAGACGATGTCGATGGGAATTGTGTCAAACAAGTATGTGGATGATATATTGGTACTTTGTTTGTCACAGACTGCAATGCGCAGGACCACAAAATCTCCATTTTCCCACGTACACACACAAACCCAAGTTTTCTCAAATCCCCACTTTGGTTGGAACTTTTATAAGTAATCATTTTTAATGACATTATACAGAGTTTTTGTGTGGCTGAAAGGCCAAAACACATTAAAATGTGTCTCTTTCCCAGATATCATGGTGCACTTTTTGTTAGAAATAACAAAAAAATTTACAATATAACACAACATGTCTGGAAACTACCTGAGTGAAGTTGGCCCCCCACCTTCTTCAAATCAGACAAAATGGGTGTCAATTAACTCGAATACGATTGTCTGATTCGAAGAAGGTGGGGGGCCAACTGAACTCAGGTCTGGAACCTGAGCAAGAGATCCAAACGCACACTCCCAAAGTATTTATCCAGCAGCTCCACGTATCTGTGGATGATTTCCAGAGTGATGAGCTCATTGTCCTGGTCCTCTATGGCACAGCAGAAATACAGGCTGGCATATCTACAACATAGCAAGAACACAAAGCGCTCAAATAAACATCTTTTCCCTTAAAGAAAAACACCAACAGAAAAACACAATATTTAGAATCACATTCACCATTACAACATCAGTACAATCGTAAAGGGTATTGCAAATGATCATGTCATAATTTTCAGCAACTTTAAATATGTTCTGGACATGGTGCAGCACCTGGTAGGAAGAGATGACTTTACACATTACATAGAAGTGATATACAGTACAGCGTCCCTTTGCACTTAAATGCTGTTGAAAGAGGAGTTCTCGGCCATTATTAAAAATGGCTGCTCACGGTGCGCAGTGTGTTCATTAAAACACCAGAAGCCAGAGGAGGATGCTGAATCAGTTAAGCCCCTGCCACAGTTCTTTATCCCCGATAATCCCAGAGACTCTCTTTAAGCATGTGATGATTGGCTAATAAAGAAGCTGGTCAGCTGGTCCCCTCCAGCCTCAGGGCGGGGCGAGAGGGAGGTGGCGAGGGATGATGGTCTGCAGAGTTGCTTTACGGAAACAAAAAGGCAGTTTCTTGCTTGTACTATGATCCGTTTCCTGTTACTGATTCAACTTCATTACTTTTCTCTTTTGCAAGTCATCATGTATTATAACTAGGATGCTTTCCTTCATTAAAAAAATTCTTATAAGGATTTATGACTTTAAACGTTTAGCTTTAGTAACAATATACTTCTGATCCTGCTGCTGATTCCCTGAAGGAGCTAATTGCTAAACATAGTCCAGCTGTGTGTAATGTAATCTCAGTATAAATCCAGACAGACATTATGAAAGGAGACATGTCACTGCAAAAACACAAAATATTACCAAGTGTTTTGTGTAGTTTCTAGTGCAAACATCTTAGTATGCCTGAAATAAAACAAAACTAACTTACTTGTTTAAAGTCAATACTTGCCTAACATTACAACGTGGAAAATTTGTCTGCCAGTAGTCCTAGTACTTCTTTAATCAACGTCAAGGGATTATTTAGTTAAAACAAGCTCCTATATTTGCCTGAAAAGTCACTTGGAAATTAGTTTTGTCATATTTCAAATCCACTTCAGTGAAAGTACTGAACTAATTTATAATACATATATGTAAATATAAAAATACAGCTAACATGTTTCGTACCTCTTGGCCTTTCAGCGCAGGTTGAACATTACTCAAGCGATCAAAACCCACTTTTCCCTTTCAATTCACTCTGTGCGTTTTCAGGAATCAAACTTAAATCGAGAATCTGAGGCGAGATTTAAAAACTGGTGTTCATAGACACACTCCATCCAGTCTGACTGAGTTTGAGCTATTTCATTAAGGAAAGTGGGCAGTCCAGAACAAAACCAGCAGTGACAAAAACCCTTTTCATTACTCAACTACAGCTTGTAAATAAACCTGCCTCCATAGGCACCTTCAGTTCCATGTTAATCTGTTCAGGCTGGGCCACCCAGCCTCGCCAGTAGTCTGCCTGCTTGCCCGTTGGCACAGCAACAGGATATAATGCGGGGAAAATTGATACTCCTCCTACTTGCTGTCTATTCATGATGGTTTTATCTCATTGCTGACAGCCGTTCCTGATCCACCTGACCAATTAGTCAAAGAAGGTTCAGATAAGATCAGGTTCTTGGAGAAGCCCAATCACCACCCACCTCTTATAAACAATCTTTAGATCCCTCCACTCCAGAAAGCTGCACATTTTAGGCTTCCGGGCCAGGACGGTCTGCACCAGCTCTCTGGTGATCTTCTTTTTCTCTTTGTCAGACAGAGGCACGTACCATTTCTGCAGCCGGAGCTTGCCTTGACGACTGAACAGAAGCATGAACTGCATCTGAAACGAAGGGATGACAAAACAAGAGATGTGAATGAAAAGATGAGAGGAAGGAGTGGGCGGCAAGGAGAGACACTCGCACAATACGACAATCAACGTATAAAAAGATAAAAAAGAAACAAAGAGCCAATTCTCTTTATGTGAAGGAGAACATGAAGCCATTCCGGTTCTGACAAGTTACGCCAAATTAAGAACGTCGACATGGATGTAGTGTTTAAGCTAATGCCATAACTCTACATTTCACTAAAAATTACATACAGACTATGGATTAATATAAAATAATACTAGATTGAATTAAGTCCTAAAAATGAGCAAGTCATTTTTAAAACTGATATTTTTTTTAAAAAAAAGTATTTTCAATCAAGCATAGCATTTCTGTATTAAACATAATTTTATTGATCTCATGTATTCTTATTTTCTATTAACCTAAATTAATTGTGGGGAGGACGTCTGAGCTGTGAGCAAAAAAAACAAAAAACATCTAGAAAAATAATACATCAGTGTGTAACGAATCGAGAACACATTTTTCCTTATTTGTTTAAATATGAAAATAAATATAAATATATTAAAATTTCTTCATAATGGAGTTGTGAAAAAGTATTTCCCTCTTTAGAAATGTCTTTTTTTTTTTTGCTTTTGTGTCACATTTAAGATGAGAGAGGAGTTCTAATATCAGACAAAAAATGATCTGCTTAAATATACAAAATGGGTTTTTCAAACTATATTTTCACTTTCTGATAGAAAAACAAAACTATATAAAAACATAATTACCACTCACCTGCTATCTAATTGCAAGCACTTTTGCAAAACTAATCACTAATTGCCCCTTGGCAATAACTCCCATCAAGCATTTGGGAATCTTTTTATTTTTATTTTTTAACAAACTCCTGGAGTAATTTGGGTAAACCCCTCCTGGGAAAGTTCAACATTCTCCCATGTTCTCTACAATTGTAGACAATGGACCCTCTCTAGACTGACGCATGTCAATGGCTTTGTTTCCCCAACTGTACCTGATTTTCTTTTATTTATTTATTTATTTATTGTGGTATTTGTCGATTAATGAACCATTTGCAAATTGCCTTATGTCTTTACTAATTGTACCTTTGTCTGGAAACAAAATCTTAAAGTTGAGAGAGGAAAAAAAAAAGAAGAAAAAAAAAACATGGAAAATGTGTAAAATGAAAAATAACCTCAACATTGGGGGCAAAGCCACCGGTGTCTTTCAACTGTAGTGACGTCTCTGGAGGCAACTACAGCTACCAGGAGGAGCAGAAATATCAATAACTAATGTGACCTAAATGAATTAATTAATTCAAAAAAAAATTTTTTTCCTTGTACAAAAGAGTAACCTGCTATAAAAAGTGAAATAAAATAAAATAAACTGTCTCACAAGGTTAATGTTTATATATACTGTTTTCACAGAGCTCTATTTTAGTATCGATTTAATTTTTACCTGAAAGCTAAGACAATAGCCTCCTAAAATGAGCATGACGCGTTCACGGTGTTTCCACGTCAAAGTCCTTCCAGCTGCCAAACTATTGGGTTAATTAGCACCAGTTGGTCAGACGTCATCTTACCGTTATGAACACAGCGGAGCGGAAGTACCTTTTAACGCCGTTATTCTCCGGTTTGCACTAGCAAGTTTTCACGTCAGCCACGCCGTCTAAAACACGACATTCCACCCATAATTTCAAGCCTTTTTAATTTCACGTTCCAGCAGCACAGCTTTAAAGCTACTCACCATGAATAACTGCACTGTATTTCCGTCTGAAGATACGAGCAGCCTCACTTCCACCGTATAACATAGGCAGGTGAAGCCTCGCCTTCGATTGGCTACAGACAAAGCTGGCCACGGCTGTGATTGGCCAATACGCGTCGACAGTGCCCGCCTTCTAAGTGCTTTAATTCGGCACTCTAAACCTTATTGGATGCTTCTGACAGCCATCAAATCACGACTTTGCGCTTAAAAGCGTCGCATTTCAGACCGAAGCCCCCGGGATACCGTGATTTTCTTAAAGTTTTAAAGAAAGTAATGTTTATTTAACGTAGGGCACGGACAATGACATTGTAAGTAAGCATATATTAAAGGAAAATGAACGAGAATCAGGTCTGTATCGATCAATATTTAGATCAGTTTGAAGTCTGCTGTGAATGAGTGAATCTCAGATCCAACCTGCCCCAGATATTCTATTTTCTATACAATAACACAATGATCTGTGACAAATATCAGCGGAACAGAAAAAAGCTATGAAAAACTGATGTCAGAAGAGAGACACTTATTGCCCTAATAAGGACAATAAGTCTCCTTATTGTCCTTAATGTTTATGTCCTTATTAGGACAATAAGTTCTCTGATTTCTTTGAAAATTACAATATTTTCCTGTACAAGAATGCTGCGTTTGAGTGCTGATAATTAGACTTGGATCACAATAACAAACGTGACCTTTGATCTCAGATAGAGTCGTTCACAGAATTTTCCTGAATAAAAACAATTAAAATCAACAATTAATAGCGCTTTTTGACATTCATAACATTAAAAACACATAGTGCTACAGATAAAAACTACACTTGAATTGACCTATAAACTGTTATTTAAGCACCCTACAGTTATCTTGAAGGTTTTATTTACCCATCCCTCATGAGTCTACAGCACTGTGGGCTGCAACTTTTACCTTCCAAAGAGCCATTTTGGCTCTCATTTCAGCTAAAACATGCCACAAATGTTACATGATGCACTGAAAAAATGAATACAAATTTGCGATTGTCATTTTGGATATGCATTTAGAATTTTTTTTGGTAATTTTTTATTTCTTTTTAGATGTTTTAAAACAAATAACAATAAAAAAAGCATTTTGTTTAAAAGCATGAACAACTTTTTGTGGACACCTGTTAAAAGAAAGAAAAAAAAAAGCACAAAGTTTCCAATCAAATGTCAAAAAATACGTCTGAAGTACTTCTGGTGCTTTATTACCTTGTGGAAATTTGATGGAACTGTGAAAAACCTGCTAATGCATTTATCATTTTATCTACATGTCAAGTCATTAGTTGGTTCTTTATCATCTTTAGCTACAGTTGTTAAGGGTCTACATAAGAAGCTACATGTGGGCTAAAACATAAAACAAGATAAACTGTTACAATAATGTGAAGAACTCTTTTCTTTTTTTCTTTGCAATGCACCGTTTGTCACAAACTTTTGCTTTTTCACCAAATGAAGCTGTTTTTTGTACTGGTTGCAGATTTCTATGCCGTTCCTGCTGGACGGCAGCCGGCGATCGAAGAAGACAGAGCAGAAACTGTCACTGGTGTTGAACTGAACTGTTCTTCAGGCCACTGATGACCACTTGTCAGAGGCTCTTTCTCTGCTCAGCATTGGCATGAAGCACAGATGCCGTATAACAGAGCTGCCCAAAGGGAGGCGTCTAAGTGCCACTAAAGAGTATTATGAGGCCATCAAAGGCCTGTGGATTATAGTAATCCTGTCCACCAGAGTTGGGTATCACACACATGTCATTCCGGCACAGCTGAAGAAGAAGATGGACTGTGCTGCTGCGTTCTTCCTCCTGCTCCTTTCTCAGGGTAAGTCACTGTGGACGTGAAACATCTTCCTCATATTTCTTTATAGAATTGCAACAGTCACTGCTTATAATGTAGGACACAAGTGATTACTTTTTTGTGACTCAGCTGTGCAGTTTTTCTCTAGAGTATTATGGTTATTCACACACAGACTGAGTAATAAGATATCTGTTTATTTGTCCCTCAAAAAGAGTCTCTGGTGGGTCATTTCTCTATTTCTGTGAGATTTAGCTTTGCATATCGAATTTTTACACAACCCGTTCTTCTGACTGCTTTGTTTTTTGTTTAACACTTGTGCAGCCGTGATCACGGTCAGATCACAGGAGGTGAGATTGCACTTGCACTCGAAGCCTGAGATCTGATTTAAGGTGAGTGACCTTGGATTGACTCCTCCCTCCCTCCATCCCTCCTCCCGTGCGTTCCTCAGGAAGAAGAGGAGGCCGTCCAGCAGGAGCAGGAGCAGGAGCTGCAGGAGGAGGAGCAGCAGGTGATCGAGTCGTGGACGCGCAACGTCAAGGCCTGCACCTGTGACTGTGAGTCCGTTGATTCGCCCACGCGCAGCCCCGTTGCCATCTCGCCCGCGCCGTCGATGACCTCACTGCCACCACCTCAGGGTCACCCACTGAACTGCATGCCAGGTGAGGAGTCTGCAAGCCTCTTCTGGCTTCTGCTGAATGTCCTTCATTCATTAGGAGGGTTTGAAGGAGAAATGCCAGGGGTGTAGCTAAAGGGGGGACTGAAGGGGGCGCCTTACCCTTGAAATATAATTTGCCCACCCCGACTAACTCTGCCAATCAGTTTCTTCATATCGTATCATTCGTAGATTAGTGTTTTGTCCACGCTTTATGTCAGTATATAAAAGAAATGCACCATTTGTTGTTTTAAAACTACAATTGGTTTTTCTTTTCAATGGAACAATACATGTTAACTAACATTTACATCTAAATACATGACATCATAGCCAAATTGATCATTTTCCTCTCTAGTCCCCTTGGCATTTGACGTACATATTGTTTAATAACAAGAAGAAAAATCAGCCTCAGGCTTTTGCACACACACAAAAAACACTCTGGAGAAAAAGAGGGTAAGCAAACAGTTGTTTGCAAAGTCCGTAACAGTTCAATAACTTTGATTTTTAAGTTGATTTTTAGCGTGACGGTGCTAAAAATACAGCCATATACAAGCTAGGGCTAGCGTAGCTGAGCTAATTGCCTGACGTCAGGAAAAGATCATTTCTACGTCAGTAAAAATCAGCCTGTGCTCTAAGCCACTAGCAACAAGAAAATCTACTGGTGGTTTTCAGAAACTCACTGCCGTCATCGGTGATAAAATCTACTAAGTGGTAGATTTTTGTTTGGTGTTAAATTTGTTATTTTCACCAAAGAAAAACAAAAATAATCTAGACACGCCCCCGACCAACACATGCTAATGACCAACACTTCATCCGGACTGGTTTGCTGTTTCCAGTGGATTTCATTGCCACCTTTGATGATTTTACGACTTCCTTCGCAGGATGAAATGAGAGGGGATCAACAATGACAGTCAGAGATTTAGATATGAGCCGTTGTGCTGAACAAGCCTGGCATGACAAATGCTGTTTGGGTAATCCCATTACCTGTGCGGGAATGCGGTGAGCAGATTAGAGAGCTCAAAATAAGGCCTTCCCTGTACGCAGGAAGCGCGCTTCAGATAATGCCCCATTTATCTTCTCCTGTCTTATCACGCTATTCTTTTGGTATCAAAGCTCAGCGTAAGCCAGATCACTGTGAATCTGGATACAGGAACTTGGACCTTTCTGCCATGTGTGCTGCTCTTCGTGATGTTGCTGGTGCTCTACTGCTCTCTGACAAACCTCTGAGGCCTTCAGAGAACAAATGGATTAATACTGGTGTAAAATTACACACAGGGAATTTGCTGCTTACTAATTAATTTATACAAACTGAATTGTGTCAAGGCTGCAGTATGTAACTTTTGTAGAAATTGTTTTTCTTTTTCATATTTGTTGAAACTGTATGTTGTGACAGAGTGGTATGAGACAGAAATCAAGCTCCTCTGTCTTCTCTCAGTGCTAACTGCAAATAACCAGTCAGTCAGGAGCGCTGTGAATCATGCCTGTGTGCGGGTGCACAAATATAAAAAAAAAAAAAACAACATATTTTTTATAAAAGCTACTTACTGTAGTTTTAAAGCTGAAAAAAACAAAAACAAAACACTTTTTCCTCCACAGAATGCCCGTACCACAGACCGCTGGGTTTTGAATCGGGATCCGTGTCCTCCGACCAGATCAGCTGCTCCAGCCAGGACCAGTACACCGGCTGGTACTCTTCCTGGACCCCCGGCAAGGCTCGCCTAAACAACCAAGGATTTGGGTGAGTGACCCAGTTAGCGTCTTGCCCTGCATATTCTGCAACAGAAACAGGATCTGTTGTTTGCTATTTTTTGCTACAGGTGTGCCTGGCTGTCCAAGTTCAACGACCAGCACCAGTGGATCCAGATCGACCTGAAGGAGGTAGGGGTGGTGTCAGGGATCCTCAGCCAGGGCCGCTGCGACGCGGACGAGTGGATCACCAAATACAGCATCCAGTACCGCACCGTCGAGACGCTCAACTGGATCTACTACAAGGACCAAACAGGAAACAACAGGGTGGGTCCACCAAACAGAGGTCAGGTCGTAAGAGGGACTGAACACTGCAACGTTAGTGAGAGCTAACCCGTTTTGTGATGCTTTTAATGCAGTTATAGCAAATGTATTGGTTCTACCACGTCACCTCAGCCAGTAAAACTGCAAAAGTATTAGAAACAAAACGTTTATAGATGTTTGTCTTCAGCTCAACACTTTGGAGAAACATATTTTGTTGCAAAAACAGCTACGAGGGAGGGATATCTAGGCTTATTACCTTTCGTCTCTGCAGAAATAACTGGTTTCACCATAGATTTGCATTAGATGACAAGGCCATTCCGACACGTAAATAAACTTTTGCGACTTCCAGGATTGTTTTCACTTTCCCATCGTTCCTAAGTCTCTTCCATCTCTCAGAGGTTCACTCAGATATCTGACATGTGAAAGCAACAGATTGAGCTAGATTTCATTTTCGGCGTATCAGCGTAAATAGGAGTGAACATTGCTCCTTCTCCTCCACATTTGCAAGCCAGTCTGAGCTGATCTGTCAAAGAACCTTGAGGCTTTGTGGCTTCAATGTGACAAAACGTTCAAAGGTTCACAAAAATACAATTTTTTTTTTTTACACACTGCTGCAACAGAATGCACGGAACGACAGCAGCAAAACGAGTCATTTCGTTTCTCTTTTCCTCAGGTCTTCTACGGGAACTCTGACCGCTCCTCCACCGTGCAGAACCTGCTGAGGCCCCCCATCGTGGCGCGTTACATCCGCCTGCTGCCTCTGGGCTGGCACACCCGCATCGCCGTCAGGATGGAGCTGCTGATGTGTATGAGCAAGTGCATCTGAAGACGAACGGGCCCGCTCTTCCATCCGACATTCACCCGTTTCCTGCCAAAAAGCCAAAAAAAAAAAAAAAAAAAAGACCCTCCCAAAAAAAAGGGCATTGATCCAACACTGACACACTCAGTACCTCACATTTGTCCTTGAGCATGCCTGCTGGAGACAGCCACACATTTTCAAACACCAACGAAATGAAGGCAGTGTTGGATCAGCCGTTTGAGAACCTGAAGACATGCTCACATCTCGCTTCTGAGGATTAAAAACTTGAAATTGTTTGAATCAAATGAGCTTGTTTTATTGGAGATTTACAGTCACAGATGTAAAACATGAATATTCTAAAGTCATTATGCTCATGTCGAGTTAGGAATTCGTATTCTCCCTGTTTTGGGGGGGGAATGAAGGAAAAAGGAAAACAATAATAAGCAGGTCAACACAGACTGCTACTAAATCGTGTCTGTAACAAAAAGCACAAACTTAATACTTGATCTCATTTAAACAGCTGATTAAACATTGTTCCATTATAAATATTACCAAACAAGTAGTCACACATCAGTATTAATATAATACATGGTGCTCCTTCAGAAAAAAAACGGTGAATTTCAAAGAGAGCGACGTACAACGCGACGCGGTCACGTCTCTGACTCGGTGTGTTACATGTCTCGGTTCTCTCTCAAACACATGCACACGCAGACACACGCACGCACACACTGTGCATTTGATGAAAAGGAAGTGAGAAAGAATTTACATGAGTCAGGACAATATTGCTGAGCCACAGAGACTCTTCAAGGTGCAACATTTAAAAAAAGGGGTCAAGACTTGTTTCTGCAGAGCTGCTCTCATGGCACTTCATTTCCAACAATAAAAAAAAACAAAAAACAGTGTTACAGTACACATCGTCCCATCAGTGGGCTGGACTCTGAGATTATCTTAAAAGCTCCTACCAAATGGTTTGGCTGTGGGCAATCAGTCCGGAAACACAGCACTGCAGTAACTCCCAGCCAGGTCAGAGAGTAGGTACCTGAAAATGCTGCATTGAAGCGGAATGGGTTAAATAATATAAAGAAAAATAAAAGCATGCTTTGCAACTTAAAGGACATGGAATATTGTAAACATGAGCGAACCTTTTTATTAAAAATGATTGGCATGCCAGGTACAGATGTTTCCCGAAGCTTTAAAGTATTTAATTATTTTTTACCTCCCTTTACAGTCCTACAGTTTGTGTTCACATGGTAAACTGGGGCTGTCACCCACTTTTTGATTATTGCTCTGACTGTAAATATGGGCAATTCAGGCCTCAATTCGGAGAACAAGTTATCAAAAATAACGAGTTAATCTAAAGTTGATTGATCTTACCAATCGACTTCAATGATTAGTTGATGAGTGGCCATTTTCTTGAAAACTTGAGTTTTTCTTGGATCAACATAAAGGGCTATGTTTTTCATAATATGCTGAATTTGAGAAAACACTGTTAAATGTTGGCATTATTTTGTGTCAGGTACTATGAGTTTATATTTTAAAACAGAACCGCATGAAGCTGCTTTTGCGTCCCACATTCTAAAATGTTCCTCTTTCCCGTTCTGGTGCGCCACCCCGATTTTTATTCCCATATCAACTGACTCCGCTTAGAGTTCACCAGCATCGCCCTCTGCTGGATGGAGGCAAAACTACAACACTAAAACAAGGTCAAAGTGGACTTGATCAGGTAAAGACTGCTGACGAATGTTCTCGAGAGGACAAAAGATCTCAGATCTTCCACTATATCATACAGAGAGTATGAGATGCTTATTTTAATTTTTATTTCATACCACCCCACCTGGAGTGTTCACTGGTGAAAAGCTTAGTCTTACTCTCCGCCAGCATAAACAAGTGGTTCCAGGTGAAGTCTCCAGTTTTGTTGTGTTTCGCCAGAAGTGGCTTTTCTCTGGCATGACTCGCACATCACAGTTTGGTGTGGAGACAATGGTTGTCATGGAGGCGTGGAGACTGAAAACATGACGCTCGTAGACGCTCTGTAAGAGGTGAAGAGCGGAGATTTGTTCTGGGCGAGTTAAAAGAAAATGGGCCTCTGTGTCATCGCGCGAATTTTTAGAAAATTCTGACCAACTTTGAAGGGGAAAGTATAAAGTTCAGAGGTACCAGCAGCAAGAATGATAAATGTGAAAGTTGGCTTAAAAACAACAACAAAAATAAAAAGGAAATTCACAGGAAGATTATGCCATTAAAGGGACATAATTCATTTGAAGACTTTTTACACATCTTTATCCAGGTTGCCAACAACTATAAGGGTGCTATGGCTGAATAACTAGATGAAATAGTTGCTCAAATAATTTATAAATTATAAATAGCAAATAATAATAATAATAATAATAATAATAATAATAATGATAAAGAGCAGAAAGTCCTGGTAAAAAAGGCTGAAAGTAGCACACACTTTGCTAATTTCAGCAGAATGTGACAACACTGATGCAAATAAGGGCAAATAAACTTCCCCAACCTTAAGAGCTAAAGGTTCACATTAATTTATGTTAAAAGATAAAATACTGACAATATCCACATAAAAAACACAAAGTGTTCCTTTGAGAGTCACTGCACCAGTATGAATGGCTTTTATGATCCCCTAGCTGCTATAAAAACACTTTCTTACAGTGAGTCAGAAACGTTTTTCTTACTTCTACGGCTGCTGAGGTTGGAGAGTTTGGAGTGAGTTCGTGCATTTCTAAAACGGAATAAAAGAACCTTCAGTTCAGAGCCGCTCTGAAGGTTCTTTTATTTGCCAAAAAAAACTCAAAAAAACCCCTCATCGTCTGCTTCAGATGTCCTCTACCATTAGCTGCATCCCTAAAATGTGCACAACGCACAGCAAGTTTAATGAACTGATTCAATTTAAACACTTTTACCTAAATGATCACATAAACATTTATCATACGTTTCGCCCTGTTTGAGCTGCGTAAGACTGATTCATGACCTGAAGCAGGAATGACGACGCGACTGTTAGGAAACAGTCAATGCAGTGATCTACCATGACCTACAGAGGGCGGTGTAGGTCAGAGCATAGAAGTTTAGTTTACAGGTACATTATTTCTAAAATGGCCGCAGTTCATAAAGACACAATAACCTTAATGTCCTACAAATGAGCAGTCAGATGTTTAGACCATCTCACTGTCGGCGCAGCTGTTTGTTTTGTTTCTTGTTTTTTAGTAGCACAAGAATGACAGAGCACATCCAAAAGGAAGTACGATCCTGGGTGAGAGGGACACCAGTTCTGATGTGACCAGTCTCTGCTGGCTCGACTTGATGTGTTCAGAATGCTTCAGTTTAATCTTAAGTTAATACTACACAGTAAAATGTACCATATTTCTATATTTAATAAAAGCAAAAAATACTTGCACTTAAAATCTACACTTTACCTATCCATACATATATATATATATATTTATATGTATATATATACTGAATTTGTAACATATTTACTTTATAATACAAATCTGATTTTAGAATTACAGATGTAATAATAATATAAAGTCTATCAAACATGGAAGCTTTAAAAAATTACGACATAAAAAGGCTTTCGGCCCGTTTGCAAGCAGTGTTGACGACAGAAGGTTTGGTGTTTTGGTGTGTGTGTGTGCTGAGTGTGTGCACCCGGTTAAGGGGGGGTGAGGAGTGTAGGAGCAACAGAAGGGAAGCGGGTCGGCGAGGTGGGAGGAGAGCGAGGGGCCGACGACTACAGCGCTGTCTCTTTCAGGTCGTTGAGGTTCGGCATGCGCGACCGGGACGGGCGTCCAAAGCCGTGCCCATTCTGGCCCCCCTTGACACCCATTTGCTCCGGGTACGGGTTGCCCTCGGGCCGCCCCAGGGCGGACGAGTGCCAGCCGGGCTCCAGCTGGCCCGGCAGCGGGTAGGCTCCCTGCCGGCTCTTGAGCTGGGGCGTGCTGACCCCTGAGTGACCCCGGCTTTCGGAAAAACCGCCCTGAGCGGAGGCCGAGTTAGGCAGCGGCTGGTAGCGCATGTCGGAGGACGCCGTCTGGTTGGAGGAGGAGGAGGAGAGGTGCAGCAGTTTACGCAGGGACTTCAGGGGCTGACTCTGAAAGACCAACAAAGAAATGACTCAGTGATGGGGGTTTTCTGGGCAGAGCAGGGACGGATCTACAGGGGGGACAAAAGGCGGCATATGCCCCTTCAAGTTTCATGTCCTTCGCCCTACTGTATTCATACACAATATGAATAGCAAAATTGAATTTTAAACATGATTTTTTAAATATTTTGTCAGAAGAAACAACTTGCCATTCACCACAAATTTCGGGTGTTTTTGAATGTTCCTACTTCATATTTATTCAAAAGATAAATGGCACTCATAGTATTTTTTTGTATTGATGATAGTAGTGTTACATTTTAAAAACAAAAACTTGTTCTTTATTGCTCTTTTTGCTCTCTATGGGCCTGCAAAAAGGCAATATTGCTACATTTCAATCAGTAGATTCTAGATGTCCCCACAGTTCTAGTCATAGTTTTCACAAAGTTTTTAAGTGGGTTTTACTAGCCATTCTGGTCTTTGCAGAGTAACAGTCAGAGTCTAACAGGCAGATATTAGCTGGTCAATAAATCAGGCCACTGGTTCAGTTAGCTAGCCTGCACTTTGCTGCTTTACACACATTCAGCCTCTTAGAAGCCAATTGTACTTTTTTAAAAATTACTACCTTAATGGTAGAAGTTGTCACTTCTTTAATAAGAACTAAAGAAGTAGTTTTCAGTGAATAACTTTCTAAACACCTGACTTTCTCATTCCTGCAATGTGTGAAGATCGAGCGCTCAGCAACTCCTCTACTTTTAAAATGTCTTTCTCTAGCATTTTATGAAAAACTTTGGAACAGTATGAAGTAAAACTTGATTTCATTCCTAAATCTCCTTTACAAACCACTCTTGTGTTTACAAATTTTCAGTTTTCTGGACGTTTGATGCTCATTTAAGGCATGCAAATAACGACAGATGATACCTTGGTTAGAAATCAAAATAGCAAATCAAAGTGAAAAATGGACCACAACACATTTTCTTTAAAGGAAGTTTGATTGCTTTTACAGGAACTAGCAGTTTCTAAAAAGTTACATTAAAAAATAGATCACAAAGCAGTACATTTGGGTAAAAAAATTTTTTTTTGTGCGTGTGTGTACTGTGTGTGTGCGTGCGTGTGTGTGTGTGAGGCTCACCGGAGAGTGAGAATCGGAGATTTTCTCCCGTGGCCAGTCCTTGTCGCGGTCTCGTTCCTGGTTGCGGTCTCTGCTCTTGTCGCGGCTCCTGTGGCGGCTGCTCTGGTGACCAGAGGACCTGGAGCTCTTCTGGATGACTGCGTTGATGCCTTCGCTGGCAGCCTGACATTCAGAGAGCAGAGGTGCAATTCAAAAAGCGCTGTGGTCAAACTAAAGGAAAGCCAGTGAGTTCACTTTAAAGTGTTTATAGATTCAGTGGTTACTCATCTCTGCTTTGATTGTCTTTCATTGTAGAAAATTAAATATAAATGTTGCATCTGAGATATTTATCTAAACAGTAAAATACGTGCCGACTTCTCTCTTCCATCCAATAAATAACGAGTAGAAATTAGCTGCGTTTAGCATTTCCAAACCATATATTCTTTTTCAACAGCTCTAGCTGCCTGATTCCCTGAGGCCAGATTGCGTTTATTTGTGCTCTGTCATCAGCAGTATCTCCCCCCACTCACACCCACCCACTGTCAGCATCTGAACAAACTGCCGATTATAAATAGAAATGTGAATGGAGTCTCAAACACTGGTTCCATGCTGCACCATTAGCGCTGCAGAGGTGGTAGACAGTTTAATATGTCAAAATATGGTGGCTTAGGAACTATTCCCACAGCTCCTCCCCCACCCACACCCCCTTTCTGATCTATGCTCTGTTATCAAGTCAGTGGGTTTGCAAAGCTTGATCTCATGGTTTAGCGCTATGTTGATAAGCAGCAAATCACATGTGCTCATCTGAAGCCTAAGCGCTCTTGAATCACTTTTGGATGAGCCAAATACAAAAAGGGATCTATCTGATACATTAACTTAAGTGGAATAGAGGTTTTTTTTTATTTTTTATTTATTTATTTTTTTTGCACCACCAATAGTGCAGCTCTTTTCGTGTTCTATTTAGATTTCACAAGGTTGGAGAGCACAGAGAAGGACTTCTGAATGTTGGTAACAATCTCTCTAGATTATTAGTTTTACTTAGGTTGTGGGACAGAGGCCTTATGTACACACAGCCAGGTCTTTATAAAGATAAATATTCACGACACATTGTTTAAAAACATGATATTGCTCTGTCTGCGCTGATACAGTTTGATTATGTTCCCGGTTGGTCGGTGTGTTAGTGGTCATCGAACCAGCGCTAACCTCATCATGCAGGTTCAGCCTGGTGAGGAGCTTTGGCGTTCGCCTCGCAGTCAGCCATCACACTGGTTTTATGTTATTTTGCAATTATATTTTGTATTATTTGTCCGTTTACATGATGCATCAAACCATATCAAATGCTTTGTCCACTTAAAGATAATGTGCACGGAGATCTGAGAAACTCGTCCCATTAACTGGGCCAACCAAAATATTTTGTGTGTCCCTCAACAGGCACGAAGAGCTACTAAAGCCACATTAGCAGCATTGAATTAAGTCTGCCGTTTGTTGCACATCTCTGCTCATACCTTACTTCAGGAAAGAACTGAAGCGAAAGCAATATTTCACCAGATTATATTTATAGTTTTTTAATCCTTGTTTTCCCTGAGCAATGCACTCGGCGCATAAACTGCAGATTTCTATTGCTGTTCTTTAAAGCGAGATTCGTTGTTGAAATGAAATGTTGACATGAAATGTCTTTGAGGAATGTAACTTGCCATTTGAGTTTTCTTCTTTTTCTTTTTTATTGCTCTAAAGAAACCCTGCTTCTCCTTCTCTTTGGATGGCTCGGATGCATTCAGGACCACAGTATCTGGGCCAGTCCTGAAAATAAAACAAAGAGTACAGAGGTTGAATCCCAAATGACATAAATTTTTTTTAAAAATAGATCTGAGAACTTGTGCTTAAGCAGCCATGTAATTTGTTACTGAATGTAGCAGGATTGTTCTGAGAAGTGGTGAATGAATGTCTTTTTTCAGCAAAAGAATGTTCTTCAGCGAAGAAAGAACCCAGGTACCAGGGGTCGAAGGCAGGCTGACGCTTGGAGTGATTTGTCAAACTGCTGCCGTCCCCAGACAAGCCGGAGTCCCGACCCGGGCCCCTGCTGTCGTGGAAAGAGTTGTCTGGCCGAGGAGACGGTACTGTTTGGCAAAGAAACAACGAAAAGCAAAAAAAAAAAAAAAAAAAACAGATGCAAAATGCAAGATTTGTCATTCCTCACCATTTAAGTCTTTTTTTTGTTATATATTAGAGATGCATAAAAAAATGCAAATAAATAATCCAATTCATTTTTGAATGAGAAAATAAAACATTTACTGTCTAAAATGCGGTAACAGCGATTCTTTTGTGAACGTTTGATCATTTGAAGCAAAGGATGCATCTGCAGCTAAAAAAAAGAAAATCTTTTAACGTCAGTAATGTGAGGAGCTCAAACCTTTCTGCTGGTCTGTTGTTTTTATAATACAAAGCACTTTGAAATGCCTTGTTGCTGAAAAGTGCTACACAAATAAAATTTTATCTGATTTTGATTTGATTATACGAGCGACCTCTCAATGAAACGCTGGTTAAAATATTGATAATAGAGGAGCCATGTTGTGATGACTTCCTGAAGGCGGAGTTTGAGAAAGAGCAGGAGTTTCTTAAAGAGACAGAAGCCCAATTTCAAGAAGTTAAATTACAAAGTCAGATACATTTTTAGTCATATTTGATATATACAGGATTTCTTTTTAACAGCTAAAGTTAACACTTGCTTGTTACTTGATTAAGCTATAAAATGACATAAAGTGTCCGGAAATATGTACTACTGCCTCTTCACTGAACTTTCCTAAAAAAAGTCCAGTGAGTCCTGATCGAAGCCGCCATGTTTGCCTCCACGGCGCAGCGATAGGAAACAAACCTCGGTAGAAGCTGCCCACCCTCCTGGGCATGGATTCACTGTAGATGTTGCGATTCTCCTTGGAGGAGCCTCCGTCTTCTGCTTGCTGGTCATGATACAGGCCAACCTGAGTTGACAGCAGAAACACTAGTCATATAAAACCTTCGCCCAGTAACGCCGAGCAAAGCGTCTCATCAGAAAAAATAAAAGCCTTTTTATTGAAAAAGAATGTGGGGGAGTTTTTTTTTTTTACCAACAACCACTGGTAATAATAAAACAGCTGCAGCGACAAACTTGACTGTGCTACCATAAGGAGTCACATTAGATGGAAGCAAAGCACACAGAGAAAAATAAAGAGGCATCTGATGCAGAGAGAGAGAGAGAGATGGAGAAAGAGAGACTGAGAGCAGTTCATGACAGCAGCATCCACCCACATCCGCTCTCTCGGAAGGCTGGATGTGGGTGGGGAATGGTGGGTGCAAAGCAGAATGTCGGACCTCGCTTTTTTGCCGCTGTGTGTGAAAAGATGCAGTGTTGTCCCTGGTGGAATCCCTTATTGGGGGTCTGCTGTGGGGAACTTCAGTGGGTGCCTGCTCGCTCTGTCAATGGAGACACGGCGAAGCATGAAGACAAGCTCAGCATCACAGCACATGCAAATACACACAAGTGCAAAAGCCGTTTATGCCGTTTGTGTATATAAGTAGACGGATTGGATGATTCATCCTACATCCTAACAAGAACATGACGCTTTTTTTTTTTTAATTTAGTTGTTTTGCTGCTTTTTTTCTTCTGTCTATGCAATTAAGTGGGTCACCAGATCCAGTTTCACTTCTAAGGACAAATCCTGACTTTATTCGAATGCAGCTAAGGCTATCGCAATAAGCAATTAATCAATTAAGCGCATAATACATTAAAATGAGCTTGATCTTTTTTTGAAGGGTAATTCTATTTGCAGAGACATTTTATTATTGGTTTCGGTTGTGTGTGGTTTTTCTTTTTGCTTACTGTTTTTGGTGATTGTGTTTTATTTTGGATATGTAAAATATCTTCCGATTCCAGTGTGAAGAGTGCAAAATTAAAGCTTATTGGTTTTTCAAAGGCGATCTTGCATTATCTTACCATTATCAATTATTTAGTAGTTGTCCCTGTACTTATAATTTGATTTAACGTCAGCCACCTGGCTATAAATTCATGTAATTGTTCATTAATACGTATTGTCCCAGTTTTAAAAAGAAACTTGAACGTGAACTTAAATCTGCATTATGCAACTTTTATAAAAATGCTTTTTACATCTTTGTTGAAAACCATCACTGTTATGTCAGTACGTCCATGAGACAGATAATCTATGAAAGAAATCCAGCTCCTCCGCCTTCTGCCATTTCAAACTAGAAACAATCAATCAGAGCCTGGAGGCTGGTCTTAGCGCTGTCAATCATGGCCGTGTGTATGCTGTCTCATTTTGTACCATCACAACATAGTGACAGTTATAACAAATATGTAAACAAAATATGTTTTGTAAGAGGTATATCGTGCAGCTTTGAATGTTCTCAATAAAACATCGTCACTTATCGCAACAATCGCCAGGACAATTTATCACGCAGAAAAATTAGTGATTGCAACAGGCCTGTGTGCTGCAATGCTGCAGAAAGAAATCCTGTGCTGCATTGCTGGACAAAACAGGAGACTGAGGCAGAGTTATCCAACGCAATCTGGTGTAGGCGTGCAATATGACAGGACTCTGTGGGTGGAGGCTTTCCTTAGTTGGAGAGAGGTTCGCTGTGGGCGGACCACTGACCCTGCTCATGTCGTCCTCCCTGGAGGAGCTCCCGGAGTGGCGCGGCAGCGTGCGATGCTGGAGCTGGGGCGACAGGAGCTGGAGACTGCTGGCTCTGGTGGGGATTCCCTGGCCAACCAGCAGGCCCTCGTCTCCGCCATGTGTCCTCTGGTGATCCCGCCGCACGTACATGGAGTGGCGATGGGGCCGCTGCTGCGAGGAGAAAGGGCTGGTGTATCCCTGACTGTATGACAGAGGGTCGCGTGGCGCGGACAGAGAGTGGCCGTGGCTCCTCTCCGTGCTGCCGTCCCCCGGGTCCAGGGAATCGGGCGACTTGGCCTCCTCCGAGGTCTTGTGGCGGGTGGACGAGCGTCTGTACGAGGAGTCCAGCGTGTTGCTCTCTCTCTCCGAGCGCATGCCCACTCGGCCGGTCGTACCAGGCCCGAGCCGCTCCAACCTGCGGGACGCCGGGCTGCTCGGAGCTGTCAGGTCGAGGCAGCTGGACGGGAAGTAGCGAGACGTGGGCTCGTCGGCATACAGATGCACGTCGTTCAGGTTTCCCACCGACTTGGCGTCGCTGAGCGTGCCGTAGCTCTTGGACAGGTTCAGGTAGCCGAACTTGGAGGAGGGTGCGGAACCGTGGGAGTCCACGTAGTTGTGTCGGCTGTGTTTGTCCCCCGACTGCAGCGTGTTGGTCTTGCCTTCCACAAAGGAGTGGCGGTTCTGCTGCGAGCGGAAGTTGGATTTGAGGTACTTGGCTCCAGGTCCATCCAGCACCTTGGAGCCTAGGCTGATCTCGAAGTCGCCTTTGCCCTTGGCCTCGCCGGGGCTGAGCAGGTGAGGCAGGTTGCTGCCAGCCAGGTCCATGCTGTAGGTGGTGGAGTGGTTGAAGATCTGCGGCTGGTAGTTCTTGGGATGCAGGGTGGGGCTGAGGTTGATGGCCGCCGACATGTTGCCATTGAGGAAGCTGTCGTTGCCCGGGTGGACGTCTTCCTGCCGGGGTAAGCTGGAGCACTCCCTGCTGCTGGACCGGTGGCTTCCTGAGCTCTTCCCCCCGTGGCTCCTGGGTGAAAGGACAACGTGAGCATCTAGAGCTAACAACTCAAAGAATAAGCTGAAGAGTCCTCGGTAAACACAGACTGAAATATTTGTATTCCTGATTTAGAAAAAATAATAATCAGAGAACAGTATGTCAACTAAAGCTGCAGTGTGTAACTTTTATTTAAAAAATACTTATTTTTTTACATATCTGTTGAAACTGTCACTTTGTCATGACATCACACGAGATTGATTGACAGCCTCTGATTGGCCTTTTCTGAAGATGACTGTAGAACCACCAGAAGGAGTTGGAGGAACTCGATTTTTCCACAGATCACCTTGTTTTATATTACACCATCACAACACGGTGACAGTCTTATGAAATATGTAAAAAATGAAAAAGTTACATATTGCAGCCCGAAAACAGCTGAACACATGGGAGATGTTGACACGTCTGAAACAGCTCCGGCTCTCGCCGCTGACCTGCTGGGGGTGGTGTTGTCGCCGTGGTGAGGCTTCCTCTTGGCCGAGCGTACAGGTGTGGGCGTGGGCGGGCCGGGCCGGTCCACCAGCCGCAGCGTCTGGAAGGCGTGATGGTTCAGGCACTGCTCCGTGAGGAAGCGCTCCGTGGGGTTGAGCAGGAGCAGGTTCTGATGCGGGAGGGAGAAGAAGGGGCGCAGACAATGAGTCCTCCGAACACGCACACACACACACACACACACACACACACAAATACACACACACACACACACACACACACACACACACACACACACACACACACACCGCACATCAAGACCTCACAAACAAGATGGAACATCCAGTCATGCCTTTTTATGAGTCATCTTCATTATCATGACAGTCAGGATGCTGCTGCACATAATTGTGTCATACAGTCACCAAACAGGCAAAAACATTGACAGAAAACATGATTTACGACACTTTTGTTTCTCTCTCTCTTTCTCTTATCGCTATGTTTAATAACCAATCTTTGTAGCCTTTAATACAAGCTGGAAATATGGACGTGAGGACAATCTCGCCTCGTCCTGCGTCTATGCAGCTAAAACTCCCTTTGTCAGCGACTTCTCTCGCTTCTCCCAAAAAGACTGACAGAGAACAAAACTCTCTTCGATAACACGACAGGACTCGACGAAAAGTTTTGCAAAATAAATGTTTGATCGCGTCTCCGAAGGCTGATTATTAACGAGGGTGACGTGTGTGTCCTCTGTGAAGTCGGTCGCGGGGTGACATCGTGTTAGCGGTGAGTAATTTGTCTGTTGGAAAAAAGCGCAAGTGCAAAAATTGCGCAGGCTACATTCTTGACACGGAGCTCCTGTTTACAGTGCAGACGCAGCAATAACAGCAGGGCCAAGAACCGGAATATGAGCCGACAGAGGCCGGAGCGGCGAGGAGTCACCACGTAAACACCAAGTTATTAGGAAAACCGGATTTTAATGAAATTTAGGATTTTCTTTTTGTCCCTTTTTTTCCAATGTTACTATAAGAAAGAATTGACTGGAACTGGCAAAGAGGTGAAAGCAAGACGCTAAAAATAAATCTACCAGCTCAGCAAGGCGGAATTGATCTTTGCCAGCCCTTTTCTTCTCACCTTCAGCAGATCGAGCAGGCCTCCGCCGATGATCCCCAGGTACCTTCGCTCCAAAGTTTGGGGGTGGTTTACAGCAGGAAACTGAAATGCAACATTTTTAAGAACGTTATTTGCGACCACTGATTGAATAGACCCCACATTTTGTTTATGTTTTTTTTTTTTTTTTCAAGGCAAACACCATGGATCAGACCTAAGATGAACCAAATATCTAACAAAGGATCTTAATACTTTGATGAATTTTTCTCCTTTCTGGACATTTGGGAACACGTGAGCTTATTTTGTAAAAGCACAATAAAACTGACCTTGTACACAAACAGATACACAGAGAACAGAGAACAATCTCTGTTCTTCTGTCTTACTAAAAATATCTCAGTGCATACATGTGAGACCCTGAAGGTGTGAACTCGCTCCGGATGGTGATATTCCTCTGAAAATCTAAACAAACTTTATTTGTATACTACATCTTCTTCCTAGCAGCGAAATAGGTATCCACAGTGAAACACTCTTCACTCCACTAATGACCTTCGTCAAAGTACTTAGCATTCATACTTGCTTGTTTATTTTCTTAATTTTATTGTTAACACATGTCAGTGTTATTAATAAGGAAATAATTGTTGATTCTAATTGACCGGATTCACTCCAACCATTCGATTCACAATAGACAAATTAACAATGTAACTCAGAGGAAAAAAATACATTTCCATAATAAATTCCTCCCATTCATTTATGGGATGTATGCAATTTAGACTCCCTGACAGTTGATTTTTAAATGCATTTTAAATAGATTTTTAAGAATAATAGGAAATAACAAATAACATTTGTTGAGACTGATTTGAATTTTAATAGAAAATGCAATGAAATAACTTTTTAGTTTTCTTTAATTAGGCACAGTTTGTGAGGCATTAATCTTCCATTCCACATGTTTGGTCAACCTGGCAGGAAAGTGGTTATGCAAACACCTCTTTGTGTTTTTGTGCTGTTTTGCCACATTCACTGTATGTTTCTAGTGACTGTATCACTTGTAGCCACATTTGAAAGAGGAAAAATATAAAAAAAAAAAACAATTTCCTTCCCCCTTAAACATTTTCAAAGTTTGTGACGGCGTAACCACAACTTTCAAGTGGATGTTGTTGGGATTTCACAAAACCAGAAAGTGGAAGAAAAATGTCCCCCATGCTTTTACTGTAATGGCAGATGCCAATATTTTAGTCTCTACCAGCTTCATCACTTCTTATTGAAATAAATAAATGCCCACATTCACAAAGCTGTTGCAAAACTTAAGAGCTTCTTTAGTGACAGACTAAAGGAGGCGCCCAGAGGAGAATATTTGTAGGTCCTTCCTCTCCACTGAAAGGAAGATTTTATTACCGTTGTTGCTTTCAACAAACTCAGTATGTTTTAACAATTTTTTGTATTTCTTATACCTAGTTTGTTGTTGATTTTATGCAGGGATATGCAATATTTTGTCTTTTTTTTAAGCTAATTTTACTTAGAATGTGAAGTAAATGTCTTTTAAGTCTTTGAAGAATCTGAATTAATGACTTACAGTAACATTTAATTTGGCTTTGGGATTAATGAAGTATTTTAGAATTAGAATTTTAAACAAACTATGCTATTTTTAATGACTGCACAGTTCTGATTTTCTGATATTGTAAAGTTCTTACTTTCATTTTTTTGTTTTTATATGAATGCATTGGCATGGCCCTGCTTATCTGCTGATTTTTCTGCTAAGCTAACTAGCACTGGAGTCATTCCCCAGCTGTGTAAATCTCCTTTGTGTATATTTTACAGGCATGTAATGGAAGCCAGTGGAAGCTGCTTTAAACGTTTTTTAAACGCCACAGAAGATGTCACGACTGTGAGTGCTTCTCACACTCTTTTCAAATGACACGTCTAAAAGCGGCAGTAGACGGCCAGCGCGACACAACATCCATCAAACATTCTGAGTTTCTGGCTGTGTTTTTTTTTTTAAATTAGCATTGTACAAACACTGAACGTTGAAATTGAAAGCAATTGCCTTTTTTTTTGCATTCTTAATCTCTTTGTGTTGTTAAGATAATTGCAGGAGAGGGGCTTAGAAGTAAACGTCCACTGATAAGTTAGTTATAGACCAAATGAGGAGGCGGATATTTAGACGACAAACGTACGCAGAAATGTGGTTGACAATGAGATTTATTTGTACATTTTTTTCATTTAGCATGTACTACAAATTCTGGACCTCAACGTCAAGCACAAACACGACTTACTAGAGAGTATCGCCTGATATAAAAACCAAATTCAGGCAAAAATGACAAAAATGTTTTTGCAAGAATTAAAGGAGACTTGCCATGCATAAGTCACATTTAGCATGGTTTTATAATTCCATCTGGGTTTCTACTGCTTCTAAAAACAAGCTAAGCGCTTAAAACAAATAAATAAATAAAAAAAAAAACACCCAGCCTTTTTTTTGGCAAGAAGTTAATGCTTTTTGGTGTCTGGAAAATGAGGTGTTTCAAAAACTTTGTGAACGTAATGTCATAAATGAGCAGGCAGATCTACCCCTGCTCGCCCCAGACCAATACCTAGCAACCCAAATGGAGCTTGAGCACATCTAGAGAGCTGCATTTTTGTCTGTTGTGCATGAGGCTCCACTTCTGCTTTTCAAAGACGTGCAGTGGTGTGATTTTGCATCTTTTAAGTGCGAGAAAAGGTGCACTTATGCTCGCTTATGTGAGCATCGCTTTTCAATAGGATCAGTTTGAAAACAATTCAAAACGTCTTTGGCTGCAGCCAGAGAGGGGAAGGAGAAGCAGAGGATGACAGAGGTTTGATGAGCCGCCGTCCTGCCACATAAGACTTATCACAGCCTTCCTTCACAGTGCATACAAGATACATGATACACCATGAGTCACTGTGATCCAATCGGTCACGGCACAGAAAACTCAGCGAGGAAAAAAAATAAGGACGCAGCAGTTGAAGGGAAGGCATATATACATATAGAAGAAGAAGTTGAGAGAGCAAAGGAAGAGTTACCCTGAGCCCATGGAAGCGGGGGTTGTTATAGAAGAGCTTCATCTGCTCTGGAGGGAGGGGTCCCAACACTTTCTGGATGGTGAAGAGCTGGTCGATCTCACTCTCTCCTGGGAACAGGGGCTGCCCGTCGCTCAGCTCGCCCAAGATGCAGCCCACCGACCACATGTCCACCGCCTTCCCGTAAGGAGCCCTGCGAGCAAGGATTTAAGGGGTTGGTGAACGAAGGCGTGGCTTGACAATGGCCGATCGAACGAGTCCGCCAAGCAAAGCTAACGAGGCGGCGGGCGTACCCGAGCAGGAGCTCTGGAGAGCGGTACCATCTCGTAGCCACGTACTCGGTGTAATTGGCGTCCGTCCCTTCGGAGAGATTACGAGCAAAACCTGCGAAGTGAAAACAGGGGGAGCGTTGTAATTAAGGAAGGTTTCTGATACGCTCGACACACAGATGAGCTTTTTAAAAACACTTGTACAAGATCAGATTATCCCTCCGTGGCAATACATTTGGCGGGAGAGATATGAGATATGCTTGTGTTGGGTGATCACATAAAATCCCAATTACACACAGTTTTTTTTTTGACATGACAAAATATCAGAATGTTCAATGGGTTTGAATAGTTAAATAGTGGATGCCATTGTAGGAAATGAGAATGACACTGCTTTTGTCTCTGCTTGTACAGAACAAAATGCAGAAAGACTAAAGCTGTATTTCTTTGTGCTTTAGTTAAGAGGCTTTCTCTACTTTGTTTCACTTTGAATGGATAACAGAGAGCGAGCTGCTTACCTGAAAAACACATTTGTGTCTCTTTTTTCTTTCAGAATGAACTTGAAACACTTATATATGCATATATATACACAGATGTACAGTACTTACGCTGTAGCAGAGTATCAATGTTAGCTTTAGCACGCAAGCGGCAAAATGAAATGCACAAACAAACTTTTGAAGACAATTATTGTGGCATTTATCAAATGCAAATAATTTTAGTAATTTTAGCTAAGTGGAAACAACAGAAGTTTGGTCTGATTTAACTTGAAACAGTGAGAAAAAAAAAGGCGCATGTGTTTATTATTCAGTGTATGTAATTCATTTTAATTCAGGCCATTTATCGTGTGTTATATGATGAGTAAAAAAAGGAAGTTTTAAAAAGAATCCCTGAACAGGCAAGAAAACCAAACAGACCTAAGTAATTATCTAATTTTTGCTGATTCAAAGCCTGGCTCAAGGGTGAATGGTAGGAATCGTGGCATTAAAAATACACGGGTTCAAATATGCCATTTTTTGTGCAGTGTGTCTTCCAACAGCATCCAATAAAATTACCCACAGCAGCCAACCATGCAGGTTTGATTATTACATCATTTGGTTGTTTCGAGCAACTCTTAGAACAACAAAAAGCTTCTTTCTTGACTGGAGAATTGGCAACAGTGTTTGGAAGCTTGCTGGTCTCTTCAAAACAAAGCGCGGTGAGAATGACACCGCAGGAGAACACGCGCCCAAACATGAACCTTCGCAGCGGAGACTGTTTGCCCTATGTCTGTTCTCTCAATGCCTTTGGCTGACACAAGCAAACAGCAGGCCGTCAGTCTCTCACTCCAGATTGCCTGCGTCGTGTCAGCTTTGCCATGTTTTACGTCCCTCCCCTCTGCTTGTTGTGGTGCCACGAGACTGAATCAAAGCCTGATTAGGTTCTTGTTTCCCCAACACGTTTCGTTAATTGAGACGAGCGAAGACAGCGAGCGGAGCAGTGTGAGAGGGCCGCATGCGGTGCTTTAGATAACCAGACGAAGCTTTCCTGAACTCAAGTACTGATATGTCAGCCAAATATGGCTGCTGTTGGAAACACTCCTGCCTCTTTCTGTTTCGCAACTTTTCCTGCAGCTGCACCGAACGTGAGAATTTAACAAGAGGCGTCTCACCAAAGTCGCACAGCTTGAGGACGTCATCGGAGCTGATGAGGAGGTTTTCTGGCTTTATGTCTGCAGAGGAAGAAAACAGTCCGGGGAGTGAAACCACCTGGACTGGCTTGCATCAGTGCCTGCATCGACGGATTCATCTCATTCAGAAGAAAAATAGCACTTTCTTTTGAAAGAAAGGGGGAAAAACAACAACAAAAAAAACCGTCTACAAGTAAAAATAGACAGATTGCAGCCGGGTAAACGACAGGCCTTTGGATCCCTGCTCTGTTGCTACGGTGCCACATTGGCCATCTGGCGTCCTGATCTGCTGCCAGCGATTCACCAAAAGCTTCGTTCGTGAACAGGATAGAACGGCGTCGGAATCCGTCAGCTAACCTTTTGAAACTAGATTTCACTCAAGATAAAATTTACAGCTCAGTTCTACAGTATACCAGATTGTGATCTGCTCTCTGATGGCTTCATAAGTTTCTCTCAGACTGAAGGGCCTTTCTGCTGCCTCGTCACCAAGGGGCAACCTCTGTGATTTGATAAAAAATCCAAAACATAAGGTGAATCTAGGCATTACCTCTGTGAACAATGTCATGCTTATGGCACCAGTGAATAGCTTTGATTAACTGGAAGATGTAGCTGCGCACTTTGTCGGTCGGGACACCGGTGGGTAACTCCTCAAGCAGCTCAAGCATATTCTAAAAGAGAGCAAAGGAATCCAAAACACCACGTCAGGTCAGATCAGGTGGGCTTATATGTTTAAAGACCATGTCTTGTTTGTAGAAACTTACCTTCTCCACATACTCAAAGACAAGATAGAGCTTCCCTCTTCTGCGGAAGGCCTCTTTGAGCTCGACAATGTTCTCCTGCTTGAGGGTGCGGAGCATCTTGAGCTCCCGTAGTGTCGTTTCTTTAACCTCCTCATTTTCTGCATGAAGGGAAGGGAGATGGGGAAACAAATCCATTGTATAGAAGAACTTCCATTCAAATCAAGCAAAGGGATTATTTTAAGTTGTTCTGTCACAATGACTCTCCTGGCCTTTAAAGTTCCAAAACAAAACAAAAAACGCAGGTAGCAACAGGTAGTCTGTTTCTGGGACACATTTCCAGAAACAGATTCTTTGAAAAACATAGACCAAATATGAACTGGTTATTGCTGACATCTCAGATGTAAATTAAATTAAAACTTAATCTGATCGCACAAGTTCAAAAGGTGTGTTCAGAAACAAGCTACCAGTTGCCACACCCGGTCTTTTCGCAGAGTATATTTGTTTCGGAACTTAAAAGTTTGTCACATTTAAGTCAACAAATAACTTAAAGAAGCCTCTTGTAGTCCATACTGACATTTGACAAACAAAACATTTCTGATTACTTAATGGGAGGGTCTAAAAGTTATCAAATTAATCCCAAATTTAGGTACCAAACTAGCTTAAGCATATTATTACATTTGAAATATATATATATATATATATTGAATAGAACTTATGTTTTGCAAGAATTTCAACAAGAATGGCTGCAACAAATAGTCTTAACTGGAATTATTTTTTACCTTCACTGTCCTTGAATTTCTTAATAGCCACAATTTCATTGGTTTCCTGCATTAGAAAGAGAATGCACTCTGTGAGAAATCAATGCTGTTTATCTTTGCATATGACATATCAAGTTACATTAAGACCATTGGAACAAAACAAAACAAAAAGTGTTTTTTTACATTTATTGTATTAAATCTTAGGTTTAATGTCCAGTCCAATCTGTATTGGCTAACGGTTCTTTCTGACCGATGGTAGGCATTGGGGTCCCTGACAATACTGAGCTGCACACGTTCTGTTTTTGGTCTACCTTCTATCACCTTATGTCAGCTGCATGCTTAGCGAGCCATGATGAAAGAAATCGTATTTGCTGCTGTAGCTTTACAGTCACAGAGCCTGGAGAACAACCAGTGCGAGGGGATAGTTGCACAGACGGGAGCTGAAACACGGTTCATTAAACTTTATGGTGTTCAAAACATGATAATGTGCCTTCACAGGCAAAGCAAACGGCTTACTGCTTGGCAAAAGTCTAGATTTACCACCAGGAATAAATATACCAGCCATAAATTTTGTGCTGTTCTCATGAGTGCATGGCCAGGTGAAATAAAATTAGACAATTGTCTTGTTCAACAACACCTGATGCAGATGGAAATACGTTTAACAGACATTGATTTATATTAAAATGTCTCCCACAGAAGAAATGTGGCACAGAAACAACTAATGACAGTTCTGCATGAATAATTGCTGTCTGTTGTAGGTATGGCAGACATGAGGTAATGTCAGCAGTTTGCCTGTCTTCTAAAGTCACTTCTTGTTATCGGTTCACAAAGTTTTGTGCCCCACCACCAGCAGCCCCGTTTCCTCGACATGTCCTATTTAGACATGGTATTTCTGCCTGTGGCTCAGAGCTGTGCTCCAGTTCAGCACTCCATCCCTCCCTCCAAACGAAGCCAACGGCAGCACCGAATCGCTCCAGCTCGGATGAGGGAGAACAGAGAGCCCTCCTACCGACTCTGAGAGATATAAGACGACACACTGTGGGGTCAGAGCTGCGTATGCATCACTGCGCTGTCCTTATGCAAGCCCGGCTGAGAGAGGAAACGAGTAACAGCGAAATAACCTGTGTTTTATCGAACCTTTACTCACTAATGGAGGAAAAAATAGACTTTCTCGGTAGGTAACAAGCAATCAAGATTTCTGGATGCGGCACTTTGAAACATCGAGCTTTAAATGGATGTGCTGCAGCAGCACAGCAAGGCTGAAATTTTTTTTATCTCAGATCACATTATATGAGCTCATAAAACACTGCTCATGTGTTAAGAGCAGTGCATTACACATTATGTATATTCATAAAAATGTTCACGTAACGTTTCCATGTTTCTGTTCATCAAAATTCCTCAGAGAACATTTTCTAACATTTTAAAACTCCAAAATGCTGTATCATTAAAAACATTTACGCTGGCTATCACGCCATTAATAATAAGGGAAAAGTATGAACTTAATTGCAAGTTGCACTTTAATGAAGAGAGATGACTGCACACCTGTTAATGTGAGAGGAAAAAAATGGTGGTGAAAGTTTGCTCTGAACCTCATACATCATATTTCTTTAACCCAAATTTTGGGTTTATGTTGCCGGGGACAACAGCTGGGTAATTTTAACCAAATATTGGGTCAGAAATTATGACCCAGTTTGTTGAGCTGAAAAAGAGACCAGAAGGAGCCTCATTATTCGTCACAATTGATCATTTGTAAGACGATGCATTAAGTAAGACGATGCAAGTCGATGAAAGGATGCTGTGCAATGATGGAAATCTCAATGGCCTGTTTTAATGACCTTAGTCCACACTACAGGAAGAGGAAAAGCAAAGAGCTGTGGAGGTATTCATGACTTGTGAAAACATTGACAGCGTCCAGTCGTAACAGGAGTCACAGGGGAAGATTTTCCCCTCAAATTTCTGATTGTTTAACCATAGGTCTTTGGACAGGAAGTCACAAAATCTCACCGCAGACTTCAAATTAAAGTTCACACCCACAGATTTTCTATCATGTAAAAATATTACCATTAGCCATTTTTTCTGATAAGAAAAGTGCGGAATGCTACCTGTTATGCTAGCGTTAACAAGCCCTAAGCTGTGCTAGAAAATACTTGCATAAGTTGGTGTTAGCTGTAGGTATTTAACATTCACATTTTGACCAAAACATCGATTGTACAGACAGTGCTTCTTTTTGCTTCAGTTGGTTGTGAGTAAGTTAATTTCGGACAACCTGCTAAAACTACAAGCAATTCTAAAACAGCGTGGAAAATCAATGTCATCATTTACAATTTCTCCAAATAGCTGTTTAGCAGACCAAGCTCTAAAGAAAGATGACACTCAAGCAAAATTGCGTAGGAAGGCAAGAGTCAGGCTAACACATTCAGAGCTAGGTTAACAAAATGACCTTAAGTGGGTTGTTTTAAATTCAGCAGGTTTTAGAGTACATGCCAAGTATTTTAGCTACAATATTTATGCATGCAAATCAAGGTAGTATATGGCTTTCTAAACTGAATGAATGAAATTATTTTACACAATCAATCAGACTTGATTGATATACGACTTCAAAATGGTATATATATATATGTATTTAATTCAATGTATTTAATTCAATTCATTCTCTAAAACTGCAGGTTTATTTCTGTTTTTATCGGATAATTAGAAGGAATATGCTACATATCACATCACCTAAATGTCTAAGGTTTGAGTCACATAACGCACCAAAATTCACCTTTCATTTTCAGAAAACCAACCAAACCTAGTCACTTTAAAAATCCTTGGAAACCCTATATATCCAGTTTATTTGTTCCAATACGAAGCACATTACATCATCTCTGTGTAACAGTTGAGGCTATTTCTGCTTCAAGTGCCAACCGTAGAAAGAGGTGCGGTCAGGAAGCAAATCCTGCAGAAGTTTTGCTTGCTAATCGCAACATTGACGAGCACCTCATGCCAGACAAACTGGTTTTCTACGTTTATTAATAATTCACACACCTGTTGAGGGATCAGTGTAGATGCTCTGACCCTCTTAGTGGAACAATTTATTCTAAGATCTTGAGGAATTCCCATGTGGGAGACGGCGTGGCTAAGTTATGAGGGAGAAAAAAGCCAAATGGGTTGGATTATTATTTAATATAAAAACTCTGTCACTCTTCCATGACCTGAATAGTAAAGATTCAGCCCACAGAGTCAAACCGAACCCTCTGCTAGAATCACTGGCTCACTTCAAAAGAATTAATTCCCAATGAACTATGTTAATCTGTCCCTACAAAGATAAAGCATATTGGTGACGTCTGAACAAAAGAAAATGAAATCAAATACAAAGCACACAGTGGAAATGTGGAAGAATCTGAGTGGAGCTAAACCGAAGGCTCCACTCAGATAGAAAACCAGTTAGTGGCATCAAAATCCCTGAGACTGGGCCAGAGCTTCACAATTTTACTTCTACTTAACAATAATGCACCACTTTGTAATGGACTGTCACGTAAAATTCATATTTGTGACAAAATGTTAATCCTTTGCATGAAAATTCAGCGTAAAGGTAACAAGACCTGACGACATAAAAGGCCGTTCCTGTAGACATATGGACCTTTTCAAGAATCTTTAAACATTAACATTGGAGGTAAATCTTGATTAGTTTATATTTCAAGTCTCTCTTATGGAACATTAAGGATTTAGAAATACTGGCAGTCATTTGGATATCTGCACATTTAAGGTAGATGATCTCTCGTCTCTCATAAAAGATGCTAAGAGTCAGGCAATAAAACTTAAATACAAAATCTCAGAATTCAAATCCAAATTCCAGTTTTAATCAATATTTTTTCATCCTAATTTTTTCCTTAAAAATATACAATTGGTATGAAATATATTAAAAATAGGCTTTTATTTTAATTAATCTTTCTGTTAGTTGTCCAAAAATAAATAGAAGCTGCAAAGCAAAGAAGATGGTGATTTTTGTTTGGGCTAACAATTTGAACTTCAGAACTATAGAAAATCAAAGTGTGCATTGGTAACAAAAATAAATAAATAAAATGTTCCAAAATAAAATGTTCCAAAATAAAATGTTCAAAATCAAAAAATGTAACGCTAGAATCACAACCTTATTGCTTTATTGTTGTTAAGCATCTGCTGATGGTTTTTATGATTTTCCACTTTCATTCAATTAACACAAATTCATCTCAGCTGGAGCAGTTTACTCCGTTTAGATCGAGATCTGTCAGCGTTTCCTGAATATCGCTCATCTTCAAATGATTACTGAAACCATATCTATTTTTTTAGTTTTGAACAACACCACAATGTTGATACAACAATGCCCCAAATCCTCTGAGTCTAAAAATAAATAAATAATATCTGATAAATAACATTATCAGATATTAACATCTGATGATGTTAATATATTGTCAGAAAAGATGATATATTAACAGTGTTATTTTGATTTACAGCCACAGAATATGTTTGGGTTTATGGTTTGCTGTGTGTGGAATGGAGGAACCATATGCAGCTCTTTTTTTCTTTTTTTTTTTTAATTCATTTCTGATGCAGTGCTGATGTTACTGCATGGTTTCTCAAACCAAAATACACAAAGACAGCGATGGGTGGATTCAGAGCAGCTGGGGCTGCTGCAGCACACCGCCTTACTCTATGGCTTGCATCTACGTTTCTCCATCTGCATCCCAGTTGGCAACATCTGTCCTGGAGTTTCTGCTAAAGCAACATGATGGGTTGGTGTACATGAATAAAGCTACAGCTTTATTCATGTACTTTTGAACACAGAAAGTTTTGCCACATGACTGCAAAATAAGCGTTGAACACCTCACTCATCGCCTCTCATTAGCTGATTTGTGTGGCTATTTTCTCGCCCGACAGTCCAGAAGACTCGCTTCGATCAGGGACCAAAACGGCAACGTTGGTTATATTTTCAGATGGTGGGCTTCTCTTTCTCTTGCACTGTGTCAAATGATCCAAACGATTTGAAAAACCTGCTCCCCCCCTCGCCTGTGGCGGCACTGCAACAAGAACCACTGAAGGAAATGC